TAATTTCCTTGGCTTGTTGCTAAGTGATAGAAATTTTTTCTTTAAAACTTTACTGTTAACATGGTATTTTCATGAAATGTTGAGGCTTTTAACACATTCCCTATTAATATTGGTCAACTTCCTCATTCCCTTTTGCCAATGGACCTGGCAAACCTGTATGAGACCAAATATGGGTGCTATACAACGGATAGTCTGTCTGGTTGCCTGTTGCAGCTGCAGAAATGCCAAGGTTAATTCTGGGTTCCCAGGAATTCAGCAGACTCACACTGAGCGGCAGTAACTACATTAGGAGGCTCAGGAAACCTGATAACGCCGTAGGACTGCACACAACACTGATTTTAGCTGAAGTATACAGCAACTTTTCAAACTGCTCAGCCATCTTCCCATACTTTTTGAGACAGAACATAGGAAAAAAAACAAAACAAAACAGAAAATCCCCTCTGGAACTAAGGGGTTGGGAGTGGAGGGAATCTAGTGCCAGCAGCTGCAACAAACCTTTGGTGACATCTTGAAACAAAATACTCATCCCTTTGTCTCCTGTCATTTTTCTCTACAGCATTTGTAGTCAGATTTCCCATTATGCCTAAGCCCTACATCTGGAAGCCACTTGTAAACAGATCTTTTGGCTACTTCACTGGGCTTTTTTCCCTACCTCCTACACCCCGCTATTCCTTCCAACCCCCTAACACTAAGCAGGGTGGAAAGGTTTGAGGGGAAAGGAGAAGTTGGGGGTTTGATCTTTGTTGTCAGGACATCTCCAACCAGCAATCCAGCAAAAGTAACAAGAACCACCACCAGCAGCAGCAGCAGGAGGAGGAGGAGAAGGAGCAGAAGGAGAAGGAGCAGAAGGAGGGGCAGCTGTAGGAACTGTAGGAATGGCAGGGGCGGCGGCAGCAGCAGGCAGCACTCCAGGCCCTCTCAGGGCTCTAGCATTTATGCCCTCTCAAGGGTCCCCAGAAATCCAAACAATCTTCAGCTGGTAAAATCACGACTCTGCCAGAGCACAAGACAAATCATAGTCAGCTGCTGTGGTCAATCTGAAGCAGCCCCATATCCCACACCTGGGATTAAAATAAAGCCATGTTCACTTAACATTTTGTTTTTTTAAAAGAATCAAAAATTGTCACTAAAACTTTGTCCATGTCAAATTGTGGCGCGTTTCTCAGCAACTAGGAAAAGGTGTGACAGCCAGGTACTTCACGTACTGCAGCAGATAAAGCCTTCAGGGAAGAAATCTGGTTAGGAAGCTAAAACCGTAGTCAGGGTGAAAACACTGAGGAGAAGCAATAGAAAATTAGAGAAGAGGGATGGGGCACTGTGAATAATAATTCTGTCTCCTGCGGCCTAGGTGGCCTTGACTGGTTCTGTACCAAAGCCAGCCTTCAGCTGATCTTTGCACCACAGGTCACCAAGCACCGGGACTGTGGGTGTGTAGGTGGTCCACACTCAGCAATTCATTCCTCTGTTTCTTGTTGTTGTTGTGTGTTCCCTTGGCTCTCCTGACTCCACAGGTACAACAGATGGGCCTACGTAAACAACTCCTTCCGAGAGCGGGAACGGTGGTGCACATTGTTAATTCCAGCACTCGGGCGGCAGAGGCAGGTGGAGCTCTGTGAGTTCCAGGACAGCCAGGGCTACTGGAGAGACCCTGTCTCAAAACCAAAATATAAGCAAATAAATGTGCCTCCATGCCTGGTTTTGCAAATTATTTATTTTTACTTAATGTGCATTCTTGTTTTGCCTGCATGTATGTCTATGTGACAGTGTCAGGTCCCCTGAAACCGGAGTTACAGTTATGAGCTGCCATGTGGGTGCTAGGAATTGAACTGGAAGAGCAGCCAATGCTCTTAACCACCAAGCCATCTCTCCAGGCCCCTGCAAATGACTTTTAATAATAAATGTCTGATTTGTAATACATGTTGTTTTATGACAATGTTTTAGGGTGATTAAAACATTTTAGGGGCTGGATTTATGGCTCAGTGGCTAAGAGTGTTCCATGCTCCTATAATTTGGATTTGGGTTTGGTTCCCCAAATCCATGTGGTGGCTCACAGCCATCTGCAGTTCTAGGAGACCTATCGCCTGACCTCTGCAGGCTCCTGCATTAACGTGGAGCAAATACACAGTACATTCAAGCGCTCGCACAATTAAATACACAATTAAATACAAAACCTTAGGTTTGAATGTATGACCTCTATGTATGTATGTATGTGTGTCATGTGCAGGTCTGGTGCCCTTACAGGTCAGAAGATGACAATGGATCTCCTGTTCAAGAGCAGCCAGTGTCCTTTATCTCCAAGCCATCTCCCTAGCCCTAGTTTTATTTTTTAATAAAAAGTCTGTGAAAACTTGGAAAGAACATGCACCTGACAGTCAGCTTGGCTGCTTGCTGGTTGTGTGCGTGAGGTAAGCACTAGCTTCCTGAGTTTCAGGTCATGACTGAAAGGGATCAGTGATAACACTGCAGGACCACATAGGCTACATAAGCTGTCACGTTACACACTGGCCTAACACGGGGACATGGTAGTGCTCTCTTATTCATCTCCATCTTATTTGCCGTTTCTCTAAACTTCCCAAAATTCACTGCCTGTAATGGAAAATTTAAATCTCAATTCCATTTGGGTCGTGGTTTCAATTGTTTTTTTTGTTTGTTTGTCTGTCTGCTTTGTTTCCAAGACAAGGTTTCTCTATAGCAGTGGCTGTCCTGGAACTTACTCTGTAAACCAGGACTGGCCTCACGAGATCCGCCTGCTTCTACCTCCTTGGTGCTGGGATTAACTTCAGCGGTCATCTTAATTCTAAAATCATTTCTTTTTGTAGGGGGATGGGGAGACAGGGTTTCTCTGTGCGGCCCTGGCTGTCCTGGGACAGGATCCACAGTCCCGGTGGATCATTACATTTTATTGATCCACATCAGAAAAATCCATACATATAGGATCTCAGGTATCACCCCAGTCCTACTAGACAGGGTGACTTCCAACAAACTTCCCAGGTGATCTGTAAGCAAAAAGACACAATGTCTGAGAAGAAGCTCTCCAAGTGATGTTCCCTCCAAAAGCCTGTTCTCCCTCCCCCGTGGACGAACCCGAAAAACTCGGGGGTTTTCAGTTGAGCTTATACAGTCTAGGCAAAAGTAGCTGGGGCACACATCAGGTATCCTTGGCAGTGACCTCTAGTTGATCTTTGCCATTCCTGCACGTGTATAACTCCGCTTCCTACCCAGCAGTCTATGTCGTCTGCCTGTGCTGTGGAGGAAGAGGTGTGTGTGAATGCAGGACGCTCTGGAGGCCAGAAGACCTCCCAGAAGGCAGGGCTCCAGGGATGGAGCTTGGGTCATCAGGCCTGGCGACAAGCACATTTCTCAAGGGTCCCTGGGTCATCTTCTAAAGTTTGGCTTACATAAAGTGCATAAATCTGAAACATGTAATCTGCTGTTGTACCAGGGACTGAATCCAGAGTTTCCTGCATTTTAGGCAAATGTTCTACCCATAAGCCGTATCTTCAACCCTCTGTACAAACCTGTTTTCTAAAGGCAACGAGGACATTCCAGGGCCCATCGCTGTCCTGTTTCTGTTGTTTTGTGGGAGGCATCCCTGTGTCGATCCCCACCTGTGCATGATGCCCACCCATGCAGTCTAGGGAGCTATAGCAGGCATCCTGTCTCATTCCAAGACAATCTCGCAACTCTATTGTCTCTGCCTTTCACAATGCTAGGGTTACAGTCTAACCCCCACACAGCTTTCAATCACCTTTTTTGTTGGTTTTTGAGTGCTCCAGACGAAGGTGGGGCATACTTTTAATCCCTCTGCCTCTGGAGAGGCAGAGGCAGGCAGATCTCTGAGCTCTGGGCTAGCCTGGTCTGCAGAAGTAGTTCCAGGCCAGCCATGGAGAAGTAGTTCACAGAGAAGCCATGGGGGAGTTGGGGATGGACGTCCTAACTAAGGTCCTCATTTACACTTGGGCAGCAAACCCTCTTATTCACCAAGCCAGCTCCCCAACCCGTTAATATCACAAAGTGGGCGCTGGAGAGATGGCTCAGTCATTAAGAGCACCTGATTGCTTTTCCAGAGGACCCGGACTCAATTCCCATCACCCACATGGCAGCTCACAACTGTCTGTAACCCCAAGATCTGACACCTCACACAGACATATACATAGGCAAAACACCAATGCACATAAAATAAATAAATTATATACAAAAATAAAAACAAACAAAACGGGCTGGAGAGATGGCTCAGCCGTTAAAGGCTAGGCTCACAACCATAAATGTAAGAGTTCGGTTCCCAGCACCCACGGCTGTCTCTCCAGCCAAGAAAAACAAAAACAAAAACAACGACGGAAGGATTCACTGGTTTGGCCTGAAACTCGCTACGTAGTGCAGAATGGTCTCCAGCTCTCGGGAATTCTCCTTAGCTTCAAAGGCGCGCACGGCCATGCGCATACTAGACGTCACTTCGTCGGAGCCCTTCCCTAGGCAGGCGATCTAGAGCCGCATCCAACCATCTCTATGCCCTACTTACCTGCGGCGTTTGCCATCTGTAGTATTTTATTCAAGTCAGCTTTACTCTTTGATATCCACAAATGTCTGTTACACAGTGTCGGCACGTGGCTGGATGCTCAGCGGGGCCGCTGGGTGAAATCGAACAGAAAAGACGCGTCCGCTGGCTGGAAGCGTGGTGACAGGGGGCAAAAGCCAACGGCCGGGGCGTGTTCAAATGTGGCCTCGGCCGACAGCTTTTCCCAGAACGTCGGTTGGCTTTGCCTTTGCCCACAGTGACCTAAAAGGCAACTCAGAACCCTCCCTCTGGAAAACAAAACAGCAAAACAATCGTGGCACGCCCATTCCAGGTTCCAAGCCCACTCGGTTCCAGGGAACCAGCGAGCGCCGCCCCGCCCTCCCAGAAGCCCGTGCGGCGGGAGACCCCGCCCCGCGCGCGCCGCCGACCCGCCGGCCGCGCCGGGCCCGTAAAGCGCGGGGTTTCGCGACAGCTCGGACTCCGCCCCTCCGGCCCCATGTCGCGCAGCGCTTCCCGTCGGACGCCGCGCCACCTCCTCGCGCGGCCTCACCAGCCCAGCGCGGCGGCGCCCCGCCTCCGGCGCCCGGCCCCCGCCCCCTCCTGCTTTCGCGTCTCCGAGCCCGTCGCGCCCGCTATCATCACGTGATTGCCTCATCCGGGTCCTTTGCGTTCTCTCTCCCTCTCCCAACATGGCGGCCTCAGGTGAGTGAGCGGCCGAGCGTGGCCGGGGACCGGGCTCCGAAACAGCCTCCGCGCTGGATCCGCTCCCTGCTGGAGGCGGGGGCCGGGTGGCACCGGGCCCCCCGGGGGCCGGGGGCTGCGGCGGGCCGGCGGCATGGCCGCTTGAGGCGACCGCCTCGGGACGCCGAGGGGGAGGGGAGGGCCTCCCCTCCCCCTCACACTTTTCACCCCGTTGCGCGCGGCTGGAGGCGGCGGTAATGGTGGGCCCCGGCGTCAGTCGGAGCAGGCCGCGCAGAGGGGCGTGCGGAGCTGCCGGGCCCTCTCGTAGACGCGGAGCTCTGCGCCCGCGCCGAGGCGCGGAGGAAGGAAGGAGGCGGTTGGCGCGCGGACCGGGGCGCAATAGACCGGGTGTCCGCGGCGCGAGGCCGTTGCGGACCCTAGTGGGGGCAGGGGGCAGTTAGAACGCGAGCGCGAGGCCGGGGAGGGCCGCGGCGCGCGTGCGCGCCACGGGGGCCGCGGCGAGGTGGAGGCGGCGCGGCAGCGTGCGCCGGGCGCGGGATGGGGAGCTTCGGTGGCCGGCCCTCCTCACGTGTGACCTTGTACTTTCTGCTTTAGCGGGCTTTGGAGTGTGGCCCGGCCTCGGTACTCCAGGAACGCAATGTCGGGTTTGGAGGTTGGCGCTGCTGAAGTTGGGGGTAGGGAACCCAGTGTGCGCCCACGTGTTAGGGCGGAGCAGCCGGATGGACGCCCAGAGTCTCCTGTGCCTTCACTTTCCACCTCTGATTCTCCCAGCGGTTTTTACTGAGTGCAGACTATGCCAGGAAGAGGGGGGAGCGAGATGAGCTCGTTGCTACCTTTTTTTCCTTTTTTTTTGGTAACGTCAGTGTCAGGATTCGGCTTTGTCGTTTTCCTGGATAATTAGGAACCTTCCAGAAGGTGCTATTAAAATAATAGCTAAAGGTTCTGTGGGTTGTGTATTTTTTAATGCGGTGTATATATCACTGCATTGCAAGTGAGGGGAAGGTTCTGTTGGTTTTTTGCGTTTGCAGTGGACCTGTAAGCATGCCTGTGGCTTTTAAACATCTAGTATTAGTTTGGGAAATACAGTTTTTTCTCTAGTATGACCTCGATTCTGTTAAAAAAAAACACTTTTTTTAAGTTGCTTCCTCTACTTAAAGATTATATTACCTCTGACTGTCCTGGAACGATCCATGTAGACCAGGCCGGCCTCCGGAGTGCTGGGATTAAAGGTGTTCAGTACCTGGCAACACCCAATTTCTTAACCAGAAGTTCATGTATTATTACTAGGAACTGACATGATGTCTTTGGAAAACATCTGCTAAATTTAGGTGCATTTGAGCACAGAAACCATTTCCCCCTCCTGCGCTGTAGAACATTGAACCCAGGACTTTGGGCACTCTGGGCAAGCACTCTAAGCTATACCCCCAAACCTGAGCCTAAGAACTTTTGTTAGCCAGCACCTAGTTGAACAAGCCTGAGATGATACAAAGATTTGGTGGCTTCTCCCAGCTGAAGAAAGCTCGCTCAGAGACTAGTTGAAAGTCCCATTGCAGGTAGCAGAGCAGGGCACAGTCCTGGAGACACACTGAGCTTGAAGGACTGATGTGTCACCCTAAGTTGGGGTGCTGGTGAAAACGTCTAAAGCTTACAAAAATAATCCTTGTCTGTTCGGAATCTTAACTGTGGGTTTTCCTCTGGTGTGAAATTCTTAGTGGTGAAGGGCACCCTAGCTGGACTAGGGTGATGGCACAGGAGGTGGGGCCCCTTGCAGTCCAGGCCGTCCAGTTCAATTTAGATAGCAGAATTCATGGGGAGGCTAGAGCGCTTTCCTCTGACCTACGATCAAATAGTACTCAGGGTTTTTGTTTCTTTCTTTCTTCTTTTTTTTTTTTTTTGGGGGGGGGAGATCCCTTGAGTGTAATCCACACTGATTTAAAAAGTTTTGCCTAGTAATGTCCCCTTTCCATTTCCTATCCTGTCCTGCTAGGAAGGCCCCTCTTAAATTCAGCCTAGGAAATGTAGCTTGATTTGTTACCTCTGCACAAGTTTCCCTCTTGGCCTTCGAAGAGTTTGGAGTTAACCACACTTCTTCCTCCAATTACACGACCTGGAGAGGGACGTGTGCCCAGAATTGGAAATGTCTTGGTTCTTCTCTGAAAATGTCCAATACAGCTTATCACTGTTGGTAAGGTGAACGTTTTATTTGGGGCAATACCAGTTCAGTGTCTTAGTGTCTCAGGACTGACGTGAACATCGGTCACGCTTCTAGGAAGCTGCAGAGTGGGCAAGTAATTCAGTTTGTCTTTAAAAGAATAAAATCTTTGAGGTCTTAGCTGCGCATGGTAGTTTGTTTCTGTCATCCCTGCACTCAGGAGGTTGAGGCTGGAGGGTTTCCGTGAGTTCCAGGCTAGCCTGGACTACAGTGAGATCTTGCCTCAAAGAAGGGGGGCTTTTTGCTTTTTAGCTTTTGTTGTGGCTGTATGAGTTGCAAAGTGATCGACTTCCGTTTCTTCATTTGTAGAAGGACAGTTCATTTGCAGACCTGTTGGCAATAAGGAATCATAATGTGTTTGATGTAGGTTACATTAATTCTGTACCGAGTATGTGTTCAGTTGGCGTGGTAGAGACTGAACAGTTTATGTAAACTGTGCTTAGGAATTTAATTGACATTAACACTCATGCTGCAATGTGTTTCTGTGGTTTTATAGTGATATGGTATTAAATGGTTGCTTTTACACAGTGTTTGTTGATCTTCACAGTTAAAACTGTTTAAAGAGCTGTAGCTACATGTATACAAGTTACCTTTTTGCAAATTCCATCCTGTACAGTGTCTGTTGCTTTGCAAGAATACTAGATTTAGATGGCCAAGGCAAAAACATTTCATGAAATCAAATACCGAGTATTGTCAGTGGAAGAAAAACAGTGCTTCAGATTGGAAAAGTATGTGTGTTTACTTTAATTAAAAGCTTTGAGATAATAATTAACGGGAACTGTGTTTTAGGGCGGGCTTTAGTACTAGCACTCAGAAGACAGAGGCAGGCTGATCTTCATGAGTTTCTGCCCGTCCTGTCCCCTCGAGTACGTGCTTCCTTTCACTCCCTCTTAAACACACACAGGTGCAGATGGCTGCCACATACAAAGAAGCTTTGTTGTGGGAGCAGGAGGTGTCCCAAGTTCTAGGTCTACATGGCGTACTCTACTTTTATTTTACTTCCCCCCCCCCCCCCCCCCCTTTGGTATCTATCTGCGGCCCAGGCTGGCTTGAGCTTTGATCATCCTCTGCCTCTCCTGGGCCTTTTATTTACTGAAGTGAAACACTTTACAGCAGTGTTTCTCAGAGTTCAGTAGTAAGTTCTTAGCTAGGATGCATGGAGCCATGTGTTTTAACTCCATAAAACAACAGAAGGTTTGACACTTCAGTAGTAAATGTCAGTGATCCCCGGGCTTGGGGGACAGGGGTGGGAAGATTCCTGTGAATTCTAGGCCAGCCAAGCTTACACAGTACACAGTTGAGATAGTGCCTCAAATATGGGGAAGGACAGAAAGTTTCTATGGGGGAGGGGTTCTTGACAGGGTTTCTCTGTGTAGCTTTAGCTGTCCTGGAAACAGACCAGACCAGACCGATCCGCCTGCCTCTGCCTCCCAAGTACTGGGATTAAAGGTATTCACCACCACCCAGGTAAATGGATGTACTTACTTTAACTTCATGTGCATTGGCATTTTCCCTGCATGTATGTCTGTGAAGGTGTGGGGTCCCTTAGACTGGAGATACAGACAGTTGTGAGCTGCCACTCAAAACTGGGAATTGAACCTGGGATTTCTGGAAGAAGAGCCAGTGGTCTTAACTGCTGAGCCATCTCTCCAGCCCTGAGAAAGATCCTGATGGAAGAATTGAGCTGAGTTTTTGTTTTGTTTTCCAATTTCAGGATTTAATACATATTTTTTGAACATACATACATTTATTTGTTTGGTTGGTGGTTTTTCCAGACAGGGTTTCTCCAGGTGGTCCTGGAGCTCAAGACCAGGTCTTGAACTCAGATCTATTTGCCTCTGCCTCCAGATGCTGAGCCACCATGTGTGTGCTGTGCCACCATGCCCATTCAAGGTTTATTTTACTGTATGTGTTTGGATGTTTTGTCTTTGTTTATCCGCTGTGTGCCTGCAGTGCCTGGGGAGGCCAGACGAGGGTATTAGATGCCTTAGAACCAGAGTTCCGTGCCGCTGTTAGCTGCCGCCTGGATGCTGGGACTTTTAACCTCTGAGCTATTTCTTTAGTGCCTTAAGATAATGTTTCTATCTATCGTATCTTTTGTGACAACCTGTTAGGTAGCTCAGCAATGGAGTGCTTACCTAGCATGTGCAAACCTAGTACTGCCCAGTAAAGCAAGAAACAGCCAGGCATATGGTGCATACCTGCCATGTGCCTGCGAGGTTGAACGGGAGAACCTTAAATTTCCAGGGCAGCCTGGACCACCTAGCGCTGTCCTTCTCCCCCCCCATGTCTCCAATCAGGTCTTCTAAGTGCTTGGATTTGTCCTTAGCAGGCATGTTAGAGCTTCAGGTGTGTTGTCCCCCTGGTCAGATTGGGTGTTAGCCAGTCATGCAAGATTTGGGGATCAGGAAAGAAGGAAAGGCTGTTTGGGGTGAGATAGCCTTAGAAAGAAGATGAAGAAATTGGACCAGTTAAATCATTGTGTGGCAAAGGCTTTGTATTCTTACATAGACAGGTTCTGTCTATGTAATCCTGTCTGTTCAGAGCTGGATGTGTAGGCCAGGCTGTCCTTAAATTCACAGAGATCCTCCTGCCTCTGCCGCCTGAGTGCTGGAATAGAGGTGTGTACGGCTGCACCAGGCCTTAAGCCTTTTTTTGTTTGATTGTGTAGGTGTGTCTAAATAAGGACGTGCACACGGGTCCACACTTTTAGCCACTGATCTGTCTGTCCAGCCCCCACAGTTGAAATCTTTTCAACATGCCACAGCCGTAAACATTAGAAGGGCAGAGGGCATGGGGGTTTTGATAACTGTCGGTGAGATGGTGGAGTGACAAACACTGCTGTCCCACCTTATTTCCTCTTGGGGTCAGACCTGCTGCCTATATATGGCTGTGGTGCGGTGGTACCGCAGGGAATTTTAGGTCTGAGTTTACCTCATCCAGCATTGATTTGTCAGCCTGGTGGGGGGTGGGGTCAAGTAGCATCATAAAGGAAGGGGACGGAGATGGCAGAGTAATGATGGTTTAGTGTGCTTGGTGCTCTAACAGTGGGAAAGAGACGGGATACCTTCACTTCTTACTATTCTTTGAACTTGATCGTCTTGGCTTGACCACTGCCTGTGTTTTTATCCCTCCAGGTGGCCAAAACAAGGCTAATGAACAGGTATTATTACTAATGATACTAGTAGCCAAGTGAGGGTCAGGATCTCTGACAAGCATCAGTCTAACCCCAGGTATTGTTTTTCAGTTAAGAGATAGAGACTAAAATAATGTGTCTGGAGAGATGCGCGTGGTTAAGAGTACATGCTAGCTACTCTTGCAGAGGACCGGGGTTCACTGGCGGCTCACAGTTCCAGGGGATCCCCAGCTTTCTACTGGCTTCCACGGGCACCTGGTGTGCGTGTGATTGGATGCACACAAACCGAATCACACACACCAGAAGGAATCAGATCCCATTACAGATGGCTGGAGGCCATCAAGTGGTTGCTGGGGATTGAACTCGAGACCTCTGGAAGAGCAGTCAGTGCTTTCAACCAGTAAGCCATCTCTACAGCCCCCAACAACATACTCTTGACGCTTAAATTAACTTAACACTTAACTCTTAAATATAAGTTGTATTGACTCCAGTTCCAGGACTCACATCATATGAACAGTCAGCAAAACGCTCATACATACAAAGTCTTGATACAGGCTCTCTACCTTGGATTGCATTAGTGATCTATTGTTGGTTGACCCAATGGCCTAGCATGCACAAAATCCCTGGTTCAATCCCCAGCAGCAACGTGGTGTGGTGGAGCATGCCTCCTGATCACAGCACTGAAAGAAGAGGTGGAGGCAAAAGAATTAGAGATTCAAGGTTGGGCTGGAGAAATGGCTAAGAACACTGGCTGTTCTTAGAAAGGGCCTGAGTTCAATTCCCAGCAACCACATGGTGGCTCACAAGCGTCTATGGTGAGATCTGGTGCCCTCTTCTGGCATGGGGGCACACACAGCCAGAATATTGTATAAATACTCAGAGGTTAAGGACACTGTCTGCTCTTCCAAAAGTCCTGAGTTCAATTCCCAGCAACCACATGGTGGCTCATAACCATCTATAGTAAGATCTGGTGTGCAGGCAGAATGTTTTAAAAAATAATAATAAAATAAATGAATGAATGAATGAATGAATGAATGAATGAATGAATAAATAAATAAATAAATAAATAAATAAATAAATAAATGAGTAAAGTTCAAGGTTATCCTTGGCTACATGAGGCCCATTAGTGGCCAGCCTGGGCTTCATGAACCTACTTAAGGAGTGAGCACAAAACTTACAGGTGTCTGCATGTGAATTGGAGCAACGTGGGTGCTTTAGACCCAGCCTCTGCTTAACTATTTTCAGACAGAATAAGTTTACAACTGTAGCTCATTTCAGTGGCCAGACCTTGACACTCTAGCCTTAGAATCTGAGTATGGCACAGTCAACAGCTGATTGAGAGCAGCAGAAGGGACTAAGGATCATGTGATCTGGCTGATAAGCTGTCAGGTTTAGAGTCAGTTAAGAAGGAAGGGCTGGGTGATAGGGCTCGATTGGTTTGCTCATCCACCCCCACTGCTTGAGGGGGTTGTGTCCAGAGTGCTGGAGTGTCACAGCAAGCAGGGCACCTTCATTTTCTGGCAGTTGAATTTGAGAGCACAACAGTTAGAGTTGAAAATTGTGTGAGAATTGGAAGAATTTCTGGTTTTAAAAAACCATGAAGCTGGTGGATGAAGCGGCATGTCTGTTTGGTCCCAGCGTTTGGGAGATGGGCAGCCAGGGCTGCATACTGACACTGTGTTTGAAAGGATGACGGTGAAGCTGACCTTAAGCAAAGCTGTTTAACTTTTAAAGGAAGAAATGGTCGCTGTTCACCAAAGCTGCCCTCAAACTTGTAATCCTCCTGCCTCAGCCTCCATGGTGCTAGGTTTACAGGCCAGTGCCAACCTAGATCTGTGGAGGGGGGTTGCTTTGGTTTTAGGGAGGTTCCCCTTTAATGGTGTGGTGGTGGCTTTGTCAGTTCTAGAAATCCCCTTGGTCTCTTATGTTGTGAATGGCTTTGCCATGTCTGAAGTTCTTAGAGTACAGAGTTCAGGTATTGCGCCTTTTAACCAAAAGCTTTCAAATACCGCTGCGGGCAACGGGCATTTTAGGGTGGCTGTGGTAGCCTGCCATAGAGGTTATCCCTGTTTGGTGTGGTGGGGAGAGCCCTGCCCTGCATAACCTAGGAAAATACCTAGGTTTGCTTTCCTTCTCTGTAGACAGGTTTATGAGTCTTCCTCTGTGGTTATTTAGCAAGTAGGCAATACACACAAAGTGCCATATGCTATGTGTTATTATATGGGGTAGGAGCTGTCTTTTCACGCTGAGATTTCTATCTGAGTGTTTTGCCTGCGTGTTTGTATCAACATGTGTGTATGCTTGAGGAACTCAGAAAATACCACACTCCTGGATTTTTTGGGTGGTTGTGAGCCACTGTGTGGGTGGGAACTGAATTTTGAGGCTGAGCCATCTCTCCAGTCTTTTAATTTTTAGAAAGTGCTTTATTGCAGGGCACAGTGAGGCAGTAACAGGTGGATCTCTGAACTCAAGGCTGGCTTGGTGGTTTACTAGAACTTTTTTCTTTGGTTTGGTTTGGTTTTTGAGACAGGGTTTCTCTTTGTGCCCATGGCTGTCCTGGAACTCACTCTGCAGAGCAGGCTGGCCTTGAACTCACAGAGATTCCTGCTTCTGCCTTCCAGAGTGCTGGGATTAAAGGTATGTGCCGCCATGCCTGGATTTTTCTTTGATTTTTCAAGACAAGGTTTCTCTATGTAGAGTAGATGGCCTCCGGCTCATCTTACTGCCTTTTCCTCCCCCCAGTCTGGGACCCCAGAGAGTGAAGGGCTCCTGTGTCGCAGCCATATTTCCCGGGAGATGTTGATGGGCGGCTTTCCTTCTGCACGCACACGTGTGCACATGGGAGTAGCTGCCTGTCATCGGCCGGGGTTCTGTGGGGCAGGGTCTCCCGCCTCCCCGGCGAGCTTCAGGCGGCCTGTAGCCGAGGACGGCCTTTGATGCCTGCTCCTCCCGGCCCCCGCCTAGGCAGGGCAGCGCTTGAAGTGTATCCTGCCATGTGCGATGCAGATAGTGCTAACACAGCTCCCGCTGGCTGTGCTAGCAGGTGAGCTGCGTTTGCACCCTCCCACACACCTGTCCTCCTGTCTCCACTGGGTGCCTGACTTCCTTCACTGTTACGCTACGCTTTCTCCAGAGATGTCTGCCCAACCGTCCTGAGGGGAACTCCGTAACCCAGTCATCTGTGGGGTCTGTGTGGATTTCTTTAACGCGTTAGTCTTCGGTGGTTCGGGATAAAAGTCTTAAGTACTTGGGGGCATTGAGAAATCTTTCTTTTCTATCTTTTCAGCAAAGAAGAAGAATAAGAAGGGGAAAACCATCTCCCTGACAGACTTTCTGGCTGAGGATGGTGGGTCTGGTGGAGGAAGCACCTATGTCTCCAAACCCGTCAGCTGGGCCGATGAGACAGATGATCTGGAAGGAGACGGTAATTTCCTGTTGTTCTCCTTAGAGCCATCAGTACACTTTAGATTTACTTCACTGTCTCCTTTGTGATTGGACAGGGTCTTCCTTTATAGAACCCAAAGTTTCTGTGTGTGTTTGGGATGTTGACTTCAACCTCTGGCTGGCTCAGACTGAAGTGAACGTTCAGACTGTCGGCATGCTGGCCCTGGCTGTTTACTAAGATTGAGTGGCTAGGCGTGGCGGTGCTCACCCTCAGTGCCAGCCCCTGCCTGTTACCGGAGACTCTCTGAATGTGCAAGGCTAGCCCAAAGACGCGGCATTGACTCTTCTCTATTTTCCCACACGATTACTTAATTCCGTTTCTTTCCCACATTCCGTTTTCACTTCAGCTTCATGCCACAGCTCCTGCGCATTCACAGCTTGACAGTGTGTATTGCAGCCTCACTGGCAAGAAAACAAAATCTTTTCATTAGTTATACAACATTCTGCCTGCATGTACACCTGCGTGCCAGAAGAGGGCACCAGATCTCAGTATAGATGGTTGTGAGCCACCATGTAGTTGCTGAGAATGAACCTGGAACCTTTGGAAGAACAAATGGTGCTCTTAGCCTCTGGCCTATCTCTCCAGCCCCGAGTATTAACAATATCTTACACCTAAAAGTCTTGTGTTTTGTTCAGTTAGTTGGGCTGTGATCTCACTAGGAAGGCCATAGAGGTCATCTGCCTCTGGCCTTACGTGCCTAGCTTTGTTTTTGATTGGGGTGTATCTGTTTTGCTTTTCTTGTTAACTTGGTGTGCATTTCAGACCAGGTCACTTTGCAGCCCTGTCTGACCTTGGGGTTCCAGAGGTCTGCTCGTCTACCTCCCCAGTACTGGCATTCCATACCACACCTGGCTTAGAACGTTTTTGTAATTATTATGTCTTCGTCAGGCTAACCCCCCCCCATCTTAGTTTGTGTGTGACCTATTTCATAATAAGATATTTTATATAGTGTATATATGCTGAAATTAAGTACAAATTTGGGGACCAGGACTAGTTGAGTTTATTTTTGTTTGTGTTTTTGGGGAGAGGTAAACCTTGAAGAAAGCCTGGTGAGGTGATACATGTCTGTAATCCCTGCTGTTGGGAAGTCAGACAGGAAGACCTCAAGCCTAAGCTACAAAACAGTCTCCAAAGGGGTGGGGATGGAGCAGAAAACACCAGGTCTAGCCCAATAGTAGGAGTGTAAGGGTGATGGCGAACCTGCCTGTTAACATGGCAGGTGGATCTCTGAGTTTGAGGCCAGCCTGCCCCACAAAGGGAGTGCAGAACAGCCAGGGCTACAAAAAAAAGCCCTGTCTCAAACCAGTAATAGCTAATATATTTGTGGTAAAAAGATCCTAGTCTAATACTTGGCCATCAAATTATTGTCCAGAACCTGGGTTAAGTTTCCTAGTAGAACAGTGTCACAGGCTTGTCAGGATAAAGTGGCTGTAATAAACATGAGGTTTGTGGCACATAGAATTACTTAAGTGCCTGGTGTGCAGTCAGAAAGCAGCATTCTTTTAAAGTGGGCTGGGCCTCAACAGCCTTGAGATACATAAAAATAGACCGCAAGTGCTCAGTACTTTTTTTTCTCTTTGTTCACTTTTTTTTTTGTGTGTGTGTGTATGTGTATGAGTATTTTGCCAGTGTGCTTCTTTTTGTTTTGTTTTAATCCTGTAGGTGTATGGATTGTGGGGGTGATTGGTTGATTGATGGGGTTTTGTGTGCAGGGTTTCAGTGTGTAGCCTGGCTGTCCTGGACTCAATCTGTAGACCAGGCTAGTAAGAAAAAGTATATGCCGCTACCACTCAGCCTGTGTGTGGTTTTTGGGGTTTTTTTGATACAAGATCTCTTTGTGTAGTTCTGACTGGCCTGGATTCCCTGTGGATACCAGGGTGCCTTCAGACATTGAGCCAGCCTCTGCCACTAGGTTTTTGAGTTTTGAGACTGATTCTGTAACCTAGGCTGGTCTTGCTCACTCACATGATCCTGCTGTCTTGGGCTACTGTACGCTCTGCCATGTCCGCATCTTACTCCCTTTGTCTGCTCTTGTGCCCTAGTGTCCACAGCGTGGCACAGCAATGACGACGATGTGTACAGGGCACCGCCAATTGACCGCTCCATCCTTCCCACTGCCCCACGGGCTGCACGGGAACCCAACATCGACCGCAGCCGCCTCCCCAAGTCGCCACCCTACACTGCTTTCCTGGGGAACCTGCCCTATGACGTGACCGAGGACTCCATTAAGGAGTTCTTCAGAGGACTGAATGTAAGCATCTGAATGTCTGGCCTAATGCGGTGGTAGCTGACGTAAGCATCTCGGGGTGGGCCAGGGCCTTGAACAGAAATGGAAGGCGGGCAAGCCCCTGTGAGGTGGGGGCCAGCCGGGTCTAGACACTGAGTCCAGGACAGCCAGGTTCTTGTATTTTCTCCAGAGAAATTCAGTACATATTTACTGGTGACTGTTGGGGCTGTTTGCTTGCTCTCCTCTCATTTACTTGTCTCTTTACTCTTTCAGATCAGCGCTGTGCGCTTACCACGCGAACCCAGCAACCCAGACAAGCTGAAAGGCTTCGGCTATGCGGAGTTTGAGGACCTGGATTCTCTCCTCAGTGCTCTAAGTCTCAATGAAGAGGTAAAGAGATTAACAGGAGTGTGAGGGATAGGCAGTCTTTGCTTGTCAACCAGACCAGGACATATACATGATGTCATTTGAAGTACACTGATTTGTGTTAGTCTGAGAGAAGCACTCTGATGGATTCTAGGGAAGAAACCCGGTTATTTCTATTAAACCTACTTACTACTTGGTGTCAGCTCTCAGGTTCAACTTTTCAAAATAAACTGTCTTTTTTATAAAGGCAGATAGAAATATAAGCCAGTTTATGTCAAAGTATATTTTCTTTAACTCCAGAAATCTCTGATTTCCATAGTCTAAACTTTTGGTAAACATTTGGTATAATAAACAGCTTGTAGAAATATTTTCACTGAATAATGGTTAAATGCCATAAGCCATATCAGATAGGGATAAAAATTCATGGGTATAGCCAGACCCCCTCATTCATGCCTGTAATATCAGCAGTTAGTCAAAGTTTTGGAAAGGGGAAATCAAGGTATCTTGACCTGAGCTACACAAAATACTGAGTGGAAAAAACCATGCAGTTGTAGATCTTCGCTGTTGTTGGCTGTTTGTTTGAGTGAATAATTGCTTTACTACAGTCATGGCAGATTAGCTCTATCTTAATTGTCTGTTTTCTTTTTGAAGCTGAGCGCGCGCGCGTGTACGTACATACATACATATTCTAGGCTGGCCTGGAACTTGGAGTGACTTTTTGTCTTGTCTCTGCCTCCTGAGGGCTGTAGTTACAGTTAACTGATCGAGAATTGCTTTCATTCTACTAGACAAAAGTGAATTCCATTATATGAAATGGGCTTTGGGGAAATAGAAGGATTCATTTTGTATTAGTTTAAGGCCAGTTTTGTTAATTCTTCTAAGTTTTTATAAGGGCATTTCTTTTTCTTCTTTGGGTTTTTTGAGATAGGGTTTCTCACAGGACAACTGTGGCTGTCTTGGAACTCACTCTGCAGACCAGGCTGGTCTTTATAGAGAGACCCACCTGCCTCTGCCTCCCAAGGATTTAAGGCATGTGCTGCCACCGCCTGGCTTTCTAAGGGATTTTTAGCTAACAAGGGTCAGTTAATAGGGTCCTCTGCTCTCAGTCTCTAGGTAACAGGAGAATTCGAGTGGACGTTGCTGACCAAGCACAGGATAAAGGTAAGGAAACTGCTAGAACAATTTGGTAGTAGTCCTGGAGTGGTGGAGAGTCCTGTCTAACAGTTCTCAATCAGTCTTGCTTCGCTTTAGGCAGTGTTAAGATTTGCCTCAGGTGAAGGTGCTACTACTGATGCCTAACAATAGCTACAACCCAGAGATACATCCTGTCTCCTTCAGATTTCAGAGCACTGACTAGCCCTGGCCATGAATCCATAACTAGATTTGCTACCTAGCAGCTGAGTTTTAATGTACAGATAAAATACATTTGAGGAAAAGAATGGGTCGGTTACTTGGAGAGAGCAACTGCAAGGCCTGGGCCACCCTGTGACACCTGAGCGATAGATGACAATGAAAGCATGCGGCCTGACGAGGAGGGCTGAGTCTGAGAAGTGAGTAGTGTCTTGGTAAGCTAACTTGTTTGTTTTTCTCTGTCTTCAGACAGGGATGATCGTTCTTTTGGTCGAGATAGAAATCGAGATTCTGACAAAACAGACACAGACTGGAGGGCCCGCCCTGCCGCAGACAGCTTTGATGACTACCCTCCTAGAAGAGGTGACGACAGCTTTGGAGACAGTAAGTTCAGATTTTCAGATCGCATCTTGGGTCTGTTTGGTAATGGGACATTAGGTTAGAAATTGAGGAGCGACTTAGAAAGTTTCTTTTGTTTCTGTGATGTGTGTGGGGGATATTTGTTTTGATAATATAAATCGTTGACAAATGGAGAAAAGGAATTTGATAAGCTGATGAAAAATGTTAACCAAACAACAAGTGCACATGTGTCTCTTTATAAAGAAGGGTCAGTGGGGAAAGAGGTGGCTCAGTCGGTCAGCTAAGTATAAAGTAGTCCTCACACAAGCAGGAGGGCCTCAGCTGGACCCCTAGTCACACTGTTAAAGAGCCAGATGTGGGGAGGTAAAAGTAGATCTAGAATAAGATGGGTGCTGTTGAGGAGCAACACCTGAGGCTAACCATTGCCCTACACGACAGGAGTGAAGTCTACACAATAAGCTAATGCACAATCTGCATGTAATAAAAATAAATTTAAAACTCTAGGGAAAAAACAAATGTGACAATACTGTATTGGGTTATGCCTAAGTTTTGTTTGTTTTTTCCGTGGTCTCACTGTAGTCCTGGCTGGCCTGGGACTCAATCTGCCTCCGTAACCCTCCTAGGTATCAAGAATAAAATTGTGTGCCTGAACACCACCTTAAGATTTTATTTCTGGGCTGGAGAGATGGCTCAGAGGTTAGGAGCACTGGCTGCCCTTCTAAAGGTCCTGAGTTCAATTCTCAGCATAGTGGTTCACAACCATCTACAGTGAGATCTGGAGCCCTCTTGCATGCAGGTGTACGTGCAGGCAGAACACTGTATGCATAATAAGTAAATAATTTTTTGAATAAAAGATTTTATTTCTGTCGGGTGTGGTGGTGCACGCCTTTATTCCCAGAACTCTGGGGGCAGGGGCAGGTGGATCTCAGAGCCTGGTTTACAAAGCAAGTTCCAGCACAGCAAAATAAATATAATACACGTATTATGTAATTGTGAGGGGGGGAAGAGCAGTGAGCATCTCGGCCACTGCCACCTCCAGGTTCTTTTCAACAGTCACTCAGGTGGTCAGGCTCACAGAGGCGGGAGCGCTGGTCTGCTGAGCTGTCTATACCCTCGTGCTAAGCTTTTTGAAGCAGTCTAGTATCAAGCACAAAATCCCAGAATTTGTTGTGGGATAATCATCATCACCCCACCCACCAAAGAAAAAAAACACCAGCAAAGTTCATCAGGGAAAGTACCTGTCAGTGTTTTGTGTTGTTGGGGTGGGGACAAGAACTGGCCTTAACCTCCATCCTCCGTTCACACCTCCTGTGTGGTAGTTGGAGTCTCCTGTGTGCTGGGTAAGCATCTGCTGAGCAAGCTCCAGGCCCAGCACACATCAGGGGTCGATGGTTGGTGGTTTGTTTTTTAAGAAATACTGAGGGATTTTTAAGTCGGTACAAATGGTTCTGGTTTGGAGGTGTGGTTAAACTATATAAAAGTGAATCATAGTGGATAAAACTCATTAAATCAAGTTCATCTAGTGAGCTAACATTATCAGCTGTTGGGAGGGCAGTGGTGTTACCTACATTCTTTTCTTTCTAGAGTATCGAGATCGTTACGATTCAGACCGGTACCGGGATGGCTATCGGGACGGGTATCGGGATGGCCCACGCCGAGACATGGATCGCTATGGGGGCCGGGATCGCTATGATGACCGAGGCAGCAGAGACTATGACCGAGGTGAGGCAGTCAGAGTAATGCTCTGTGACCGCGTTAAGAATTGTTAAGAATGCCCTTTCCGTGTGACCACAATTTGAGGTCTGTTCTAGGCTATGACTCCAGGATAGGCAGCGGCAGAAGAGCGTTTGGAAGCGGGTACCGTAGAGATGATGACTACAGAGGAGGTGGGGACCGCTATGAAGACCGTTACGAGAGGCGGGATGATCGGTCTTGGAGCTCCAGGGATGATTACTCCCGGGACGATTACAGGCGTGATGACAGAGGTACTCACTGATACGGTGTAAAGGAAGTAAGCAGTAGGAAAGGAAAAGGCAGACACTTCTATTGCCCTGTACTCTAAGTGAGGAAAGTGAAAGTCCCAGTCAGTAGTTGGTGTGGTAATGTCAAACATAGACATTACTGGTTTTGTAGGTAGTGAAATTTTTGGGAACTTACTTTGGAAGTTATGCCCATAGTTGCTGAAACAAAGCACTGTCACGCTCAGTTCTCACACGTGCCATCTGAAAGACTGCTGTGTAAGGAAATTATCTGACAGCTTGTAAGGAATGTTTGGTCACGAGCTTCCTAGCCACATCTGAGAAAGAAAGGTAACTCTCACAGTGAGCAAAGGGCTGTCCTAGACTATGTGGTGTCTCCCACTTCTACATCCACCCTCGTGGGTACGTGCTCACTCTTCAATCACCTGAAAACCTTCACTGAACAAAGGTTAAAGTGCTATCTTAAAAGTTCATGCTACCAGTGGTACACACGTTTAATCCCAGCACTTGGGGGCCAGAGGCAGATAGATCCCTGTGAGTTCCAGGCCAGCCACGGCTGTCTGTATGTATAGAGAGATGGGTGTGTATTCACACATACATAAACACTCATTTGATACACATACTTGTATGCCCATGTGCATGGAGGTCTGAGGACGGTTGTGGAGTCTGGTCTTTCTGCCATGTGGAGCCAGGAAATAAACTCCGGTGGTCAAGTAGCAGGAAGCATCTTTACCTGCTGGGTTGTCCCACCAGCCTGTCCTGTGTCTTTAATGTGAATGTACTCTTAATATATCTGATTCTCCTACCAAATTTACATAGAGACCAAAAGCTACCTATTGTAGCTTTTTGTCTAACGCCTAAACATGCATGTGCTCTGTGAGCTGTTTGGTTTTGTCATATGTGGACATGTTACAGGAAAAGGAAGAACTGTAATGGGAGGAACAGTGGATGTTGGTAATTATATTCACTCCATTGTCTACTCTGCCAGATCCTGGCTTATGTTTTCTGAGCCTCTTTCATCTTAAATGTAATGATAATTGCTCCTTGACAAAGGTGGGCAGGTGAGATGTTTTGGAAGTTGTAGAAACTGCTACCTTACATCCCACATTAAAGATCTGAGATGGTTCGTGACGCAGTGTTAACCATGCGAGCCGGAGGAGCAGAGCTCTGTCACAGCCCCACATAAAAAGCTGGGCAGCGGCTGAGCGGCTTGATGCTGGCGTAGAGAACCTAGGTTCAGCCCTTAGCTCACGTGTTGGCGCACAACCACCCATAACTCCAGCTCCTCTCGCGACCTCAGAAGGCACCAGGGACGCGTGCTAAATAGTATTCGTAAGTTCATCTGAAAATGAAAAACCAGGCAAGTTTGTAAGCCTAGTGTAGAGACAAGCAAGTTTGGTGCTCACTGGACAGCCATCTTACCAAGTGCCCTAGTGGTGGGGTGTGCAGTAGCCAAATAGAATGCTATTTAGTTACACATACGTGAAGGCCGTGCAAGTGGGCATGTGTTGTTTTGATATTTAAATCAGGTGATTCACTCACAGGCTTCCTTCCTAGTCACTATGTCTTTCATAATCAGTTTTCTGGATTTAGGATGTAACCTAGCATATATGAGGCCCTGCTTTTTCATCCTGATCAAGGTAGAAAAAAAAAAAAGACTTTGTTAAATTTTAGGTTTATTTTGAAAGTACTCTGATAATTTGGAGCGGGGGGTGGGGGGTGACAGGCTAAGAATTCATACAGAATCTTAACTAGAGTCCCGTGGCCGGGAAAATAGCTTAGTCTATAAAAGTACCTGCTGTGCACTGCAGGTAAACAGAATATGGGGTCAGACCTCCAGCACTAACATTTTTAAAGATGGTGGACTGGTGTGTTCGCCTGCATCTGCATTGGGGTCGTTGAGCATGGACAGGTAGATTCTTGGAGCTCTCTGGCCTTCACATTCTTGTTCTCTTTCATGGACACACACCTCTAGGATCTTCCCTGTCATGCCGCGACAGGGTCCTGATAGTTTGTTGGAGATGCTTGTCTCCAGACCAGATCTTTGAGCAAAACCATTAGAGTTGTGTCTACAGTCTGGCTTTCAGCCGTCACCTTCTGACGGTTTGGAAACTATTACTTAGAGTTTCATTTAACTTAGGTCCCCCCCAAAGACCCAAACTGAACCTAAAGCCTCGGAGTACTCCTAAGGAAGATGATTCCTCTGCTAGCACCTCCCAGTCCAGTCGAGCGGCTTCTATCTTTGGAGGGGCCAAGCCTGTGGACACGGCAGCCAGAGAAAGAGAAGTGGAGGAGCGGCTGCAGAAGGAGCAGGAGAAGCTGCAGCGGCAGCTGGAGGAGCCCAAGCTGGACCGCAGGCCCCGGGAGAGGTGCGTGGTCCTCTGCGGGCTCTCTGTGCCTCCTTCCTGAGGCCCGTGGATGTCCTGGGAAGTGTGTGGGGTGGGATCCTTCAGGGGGCCAGGTAGACACTAAAGACTTGCTGTACCTCCAAGCTTTCACAGACTTGTGCTAGCCTCACCATAGACATTGGTGGCCCTTCTTACAGAAGTAAATAACTCATGCCTGTTTTTGTGCAAATAGATTTACATGCCTCTATTACTGTGTGTGGCTGGCATGCATGCAGAAGTCAGAAGGGCTGTGTGGGTCTCGGACTTGGCCTTTCCCACCAAGTAATCTCACCAGCCCTGCATAATGTTTTATAAAGAACCAGCTGAATGAGGTGAGGGTCAGCCCAGCTCATCTCTCCATGTGACTGTCACTAACACAGAGAAGTTTCCTGTCTGCTAAAGGAAGGCTGTCGAGTAAAAAGCCCATGAGGGTGAGCTAAGTAGAAATTAGAAAGTGCTATAAAATTATTGATGATCATGATGACGCACGCCTGTAATTTCAGCATTAAACCTGAGGCAAAAGAATTGCTCTGAGTTTGGCATTAAGATGGGCTTCATGTATGTTGCATGACCTTGTCTTTTAAAAAAAGCAGCAGCAAGAGATTCTCTTTACTTTTGGTTTTTAAAGAGCCTCACAGGCCTGTCCAGAAATCACTGAGGCCAGACAGGCCTCATACTCATGTCCTGCTCTATGCTTTTATCATCTGTTTATTGTAAGGAATAGTAAAAATTGTTGGGTATTTCTTTTTTGTTCTCTTTGAGGCAAGATCTCTAGTTCCGACTGTGCTAGGCCAGGGTAGCCTCCGGCTCGGGTCTGTCTGTCCCTCCCTCCTCAGAGTGTTGGGATTAAAGATATTTGCCACCATACCCAGCACAAAAGTCTGTTTTTAGAATTTATTAGGAAAGCTCAGCAGTGTTCTGTGCGAACAACTTTCAGAGTTGTGATCGGGTTGAAGGAGGCTATCATGGAAACCTGGAGCATTTAGAGCCAGCACATGTAGCCTGCTGCCCTAGAATGGTCTGAGGACATGATAGGCCATGTGACAAGATCACAGGGCTGGTTGGTGATGTGGGTCTGTGTGGCTAAGCTGAGCGCCTGAGTAAAAAGGCTGGTCCTGCCTGCGTGTACTTTGAAAGGAAGGGTTCTGTAGAGACAAGCACAAACGCAGGTGGTTGCTTGTCAGCACTGTCTAAGAAAGACTTGTCAGGCCTGGAGAGATGGTTCAGTGGTTAAGAACACTGCTGCTCCTCCAAAGAACCTGAGTTTGATTCCCACCACAACCATCTGTAACTCCAGTTCCGTGGTCTACATGTACGAGGCACACAAATGGTACAAGCACATGCAGAGAAAACGTGCAAAAAATTAAGCAAGGTGGATAGCTTCTAAGGAACAGTGTCCCAAAACAGTCTTCTGGCCTGCACTTACCAAAAAAAAAAAAAAATATTTACAAAAGTTGATTTCTATAAACAATGTGTATCAGGTTCGCAGTGCCCTTACGTGGACTAAATATCGGTCTGGTTTTGTTTTGTTTTTGTTGTTTTTTTTGTTGTTGTTGTTTTTTGTTTGTTTGTTTTTAACCTCTTGTGTGTAGACACCCAAGTTGGCGAAGCGAAGAAACTCAGGAAAGAGAACGGTCGAGGACAGGAAGTGAGTCATCGCAAACCGGGACCTCAGCCACATCCGGGAGAAGTAAGTCTGACCAGGGGGTGCAGCAGAACCCCCTTCTCCACAACCAGAGCGTGCAGGCACTTTGCAGTGTTAGATTCAGTCTTGTTTTCATGGCCTTGGTGTCCTGAACCTGAGTACACTCCATTGCCCTTGAGCCCAGTGGTGCTCATTACAGCACTCCCTTCCTACTGTGACCTGCTGTTGCTTAACCTCACAAATCTTCAGGTTTACTTGTACTTGAGTATTTTAAAACAGCCCAACGCCAAAGTGATTTGTAAATTGAGCCAAGTGTTGTAAGAGTTTTCTGGAGATGTTTGTCCTGTGCAGTAGCCCAGTGACATGATGTAGTGCTCCTTCTGGCTAGGTTAAGTGGGCTGTTGGTCCGTGTGGCCACTTAGGTAGAGCGTGTGCTTCAAACGTAGAAGACACCTGGCAAAGCAGATTGTATGGGTCCAGAGTAGTTTTTCTGTAAATGCAAGTGTCTGCTCTTTGTTCCCTTGTAAAGGCAGTTGTCTTCCAGTCTCTGTCTGCTGAGCTGGAGTTGAGCTTTGATTGCAAGTCCCATTCACGTGTGTATGTCCTCCCTGGTTAAGGCCATCCTAACCCTAACAGCAGATAAGCTGTAATTCTAGAACAAAAAAGGAGCCAAGTTAGTCTCCACTTAAAGAGGAGTTGGTGTGCTGGTGCAGTCCAGATGAACAGTCTACAGTGGTGTCTCCTCCCCCGACAGATACACGAAGGAGAGAGAGTGAGAAGTCTCTAGAAAATGAAACCCTCAATAAAGAAGAAGACTGTCACTCTCCAGCCTCTAAACCTCCTAAACCCGATCAGCCCCTAAAGGTAATGCCAGCCCCTCCACCAAAGGAGAATGCGTGGGTGAAGCGAAGCTCTAACCCTCCTGCCCGATCTCAGAGCTCAGACACAGAGCAGCCGTCCCCTACAAGGTGAGTAGGCCTGCAGCAGCAGCTGCTTCCCTGATGGTGCCCTGAGGGGCGGCCTTTGTAGTGTTGCAGGCGAGCTTGCCTCCTTCCTCTACAATATATACTCAGTGGTCTCAAAACGAGCTCTTGTCTTGGTTTTCATTAGCCAGTTGACATCACTTTGATGGGTTGAAATCAGCTGTGATGGGAGTATTTACCACAAAAATAGGTAGATGTGCTTTGCCCTGGGACATACTGTCCATGCTTAGTGACTTGAGAATCTCTTAAATTTTCCCAATTTTTGCAAACAGAAGGCTCAGGCTACGCTCTCTGATTTGAGTGGAAGTGGCTGCTTTCAGTGTCTTTCTACGCTGTAATAATCACAGTGTTGAGGATGCATGCGGGCATCTCTGTAAAGAAAACTACTACGTTCAGAAAATGTGTAAGCTTGTGTTGTCTTTCCTGTAGAAACTGATGGTTGATTGCTTGCTTTGTTCTAGTTGTGGAGGGAAGGTAGCCCCAGCTCAGTCCTCTGAGGAAGGACCATCAAGGAAAGGTGAGCCTATGCCGAAAGAAGTAGCTTTTAACCCCATTTAAAGCTGGGAATGCAGACACGTCCAGGGCCTAACACACCAATTCAGTTCCCAGCACCATTCCTTGCCGGTACTTGATGCCCTCCCCGCCTCCACACACCAGGCGTACATGCCGCACAGGTGCAGGCAGTACACACGGCAAAGAATTTTGGTTTGGTTGGTTTAGGTTGGTTTAGTTTGGTTGAGGCTGGGTTCCTCTGTATAGACCAGGCTGACCTCAGAACTCACAGAGATCATCCTGCCTCTTGAGTGCTGGGATTAAAGGTGTGAACACCACTGCCTGCAAGAAGAAATTTTTTAGGGTTTCACAGTGACGCTTTCATACATGTACATGAAGTGTTTCATGCACAGTCGTCACTGCCACCCTGCATGCTTCTCCTGTCTCTTCCTTCCTTTCAGTCCCCTTCCCTAACCCCTGTTGTGCTTTCACGGCTCTTCTGAGGGCTGGCCTCCTGGGCTCGCTGAGGATTGGAAGCGCTGGCACCTTACCAGTGGCCACGCTGTTGACGTTGTCTGCCCTTCCCCTCTCAGTCTTCAACTGCTTCAAGAGTTACTGGGTTCTGACTGTCTTGTGCCCCTGTTTGTTGGTGTTTCTTTGGAGGGGGGCCTCTGGACAAGTTTTGCAGTGTAGCTTTGGCTGTCCTGGAAATGTACCCAGTTAGTAATGTTCTTTTCCTGCCAGTAGAGGGCAGGAGTGGCTGCCTAAAAGTGCTTGAAACTGCCTCTTTTCCTGGTAAAGCCTGCCTTTGTGGGGAAATTAAGTGGACAGGAATAAACATGTTCGTCCCAGTTGGAAATATCACCATTCGCAAGCCAAGGTCACTATGGCACAATCTAGCTCTTGTCCGTGTTGCTTTTCCAGGTAGTCTTCACTGCAGTAGGAACGCCTTAGGCTGCTGTAGGGTGGCAACACTTTTCCCTAAAAGTGTTTTCTTCAGCTTAGAGGAAAGCAGGAAGATAGGTCACTTTATATGCCTTGAATTTGCTTTTGTATTTCTGCTTTAACAGATGAAAATAAAATCGATGGAATGAGTGTCCCAAAAGGCCAAAGTGGGAGCTCCAGCCGTGGCCCTGGGGACGGGCACAAAGAGCGCTGGGAGGAGTTGGATAGGTATGTGGTTTCTCCTCGCTGTCTGTGAGTTGTTAATGGTAGATGCGGGAGTCTTTATGAAGGAGTTCTTTGCTTTCCCCAGCGTGGCCAGGTCTGCCGCTGTGAAGAAACTAGACTCACTCACGCACGGTTACATTTGGGGAATCTAACAATAATGTGCTGTGTAAGGAACACTGTTGAATAGGGGTCTGTGCTGTTGTTTCTGCAGGAAAGACGGCAAAAAAGATCAAGACTCCAGATCTGCTCCTGAGCCAAAGAAATCTGAGGAGACTCCAGCCTCCGTAAGTGCCATGTGCTTGCTCCTCTTCTCTCGGCTTTGCATCTGACTCTTTCTTGACACTAGAGGAATTGGAAATGAGCTATCAGAGTTCATTCAAATTAGTAAGAAAAGCTAAGGTGGACTTGTTTTGTTTTTGAAACAGCCTTTCTCGGCTCTCAGAAAGGGGGTGTCGATGGCTTGTGAGTTCACATGTGTCCCCGGCCCTAGAAGATGCTACCCACAGAGGAATGACTGTGGTCTGGACTGCTCATTTATACCAGAGCATTGGCATTCTGCTTCTAGGTTTTGGTAGGAGGATTTTGAGTTCCCATTACCTTGTCCCTCTCTGTTGACAGAAGTTCAGTTCTGCAAGCAAGTACGCCGCTCTCTCTGTGGACGGTGAGGATGAGGATGAGGGGGACGGCCACACTGAGTAGATGCCCACACCCTGTGCATTCTCCTGGTCTCCACCCCGGAACATTCGAGAACACATCAAACCTCTATCCAGACAAGACAAATAAACTCACCATCTCCTGAAGACCTTTCTTAACTTTTTTTTTAAAATGAAATGAAATTCTTTTGCATGCTGCTGCAGCCTTTTAAAGCATCGAAGTAACTGGAGAATCACCATGGTGGCCAGAGATGTGGCCACTGCTTGTGAGTGGGGAAGTTGCGTGTTCTGATGATACCAAGCAGTTACCTGTGCTGGCCAGTGCCTGGGGCTCCGTTCAACAGAAATGCAGTGACGGTGTGACTTGTCACACCAGTGAGGCAGTGGAGACAGTGCAAGGAGGAGTGAGATTCCTACCTTTAGTTCTTACCCTAAGGTGGCACCCATGAGTCCCCAAACAGCACCTGAATAAATTTCCATCCTTAGAAAGGTAGATTTGGTCTCCAGGAGGCTGCCAGCCCTTGTACTTTAATTCTGAGTGAACTGGGCCAGCCTGGGGGGAAATGTTTATTTTTACCCCCTAAGGGGGTAGTTGGGAGTGAGTCTACAGACCACTAACAAGTAGTACCGCCTGGGGACCAAAATGAATGGGGGCTCAGTCGTGGTGGGAAAGCTTGGGGAGGTGATTGGTGTTTATCCCAGGTCATGAGGGAAGTGCTGTGACCTCCAGTGAGCGCATGGATAGAATGGGCATTTCCTGGATGAGGAAGCACTTGGGGGAGTGGGGAGTTCCAGCCCTGTGTGTCCTGGTTTTGCCCCTCTAAACACTGTCCTCTCTAAAGGCTCGAGCATACCCACATTCTTTCAAAACCTTGCCACTCTGGTCATCTTGTGTTCTTGATGGCGTTGTCAGCTTTCCAAGAGCAGCCTCTGAGGCACACACCTGCTCCCACAGACGGTTTATCTTGGCCGCCAGAAGCTGTGGCCTGAGGAATCACTGCTTTTCTAAAGCAAACCAGATCTGTGGTGTCCTTGGTTCCTGCCCGTCTGCCTGCTCCTGCTGCTTTCTCCCCTTGGGGGTCAGGGTACTTAATTGATGGGCTGGGGGTGAATAGGAGTGCATAAATGGGGTGAGTTGAGTTGGAGGTCTTCCACCTTGACTAGGCTGTTTTGTGGTTTCTATAAGTTCCCTTCACTAGAACCCCATGCCGGCGCTTGGGTTTATAATGTATGTGACCTAGACTGGTTTTCTGCTTAGGAGAGTTGGCTTCTTGACTCCCCTCAAGAATAAAGGATAATGGCAAAGAAGTATTGAACAGGGTCCTGATTTCTCTTGCAGCACAGTGGCTTGGCCTGTCTGCTTTGATGTGAGGGATCAGCTCCAAAGATGGCAAGCTTCCTGTGTGGGAAGTCAGGGCCTGCAGACAAATAATACCTTGGTCTTAACGTGAAGTCCTTGGCCTGCTGTGCAGGAGCATGGCGTGCTGCAGCAGCGGGTGTAGCAAATCACCCCTGCGGTGGGTTTGATTGCCGAGTAGCTGGAAGCGGGCTTTTGCAGATGCCCACGGTTGAACGAGTTTTTAAAAACCATTGGTTGTAGACAATGAAAAGGGAGTTTGCCCTCTTCTTGTCTGTTTCCCTTCCAGATAGTTGCATCCAAAAGAAAGCTGTTTGGTCCCACTCTCCTCCTCTGCTCCTCTGTTAAAATGAAAACAGGGGTTGGCTTATGTCCCGCTCCTGAATACATGTAAAATTTGTACAAAGATATCTTCTATGAAAATGATTTGTAATCTGTAGACATTACTTGGGAGATGTCTTGAGATGTAAAATCCCATCCTTTGGGTTGAGGGTTTTTTGTTTTTCTCCAAATAAATCCAGTCTTTAAAGTTGATAAATGCTGAAATTTTTCTGGTATTCCCTGTGCTTTATTGTTCTCCCCTCCCTGTGAACAGCTCTCCTTTCCCCATCTCTGGTCCTTTGGTTTTGCATGGCAGAGGGTTGTGGACCTCAGTACATGAAGTCTGTCCTCATCTGCTCCAACCCCCAGCATTGTTTTCACCAAGTGTTAACACCTGAGTCTGCGAGGTGCGGGCCATGCCTCCTCCCAGTCCACACTGTATGCAGTAAGCTGCCATGGAGCAATTCATAGAGACCACTGTCCTTTGTGAGATGCCTCAGATTTAAGGGAGGAGTTTTCCAGATAAAGCTGCTTATCACTGAAAGGAAAAGGGCTTAGAGTAGAAGCAGAGCCTCAGCCCTGAGTCCCAAGGAATTGGAACACATATAATTGACTCGTATCCAAGATGGGGAATGAATGTTGTGACTGGCTGCTGGCCATTAAAGGCAGCTGCTTTCCTCTGGAACTCTGTAGACCAGGCTGACCTCAAACTCGACATCCACCTGCCTCTGCCTCCCAAGTGCTGGGATCAAAGTGTGTGCCACCACTGCCTTGCCAATGCTTTTGTTTTCTAACAAGGCCAAGATTGGCAGGTTGGAATCCACAAGCAGCTGTGCTGTGCGAGCTTCCCAGGCTCTGCTCAGAAGCTAGTCCCAGTACGCATGGTTGCCATCCAGCTGCAGACAGTCAACATCTGGGAGAAGAGGGGTTAAAGACCTTCCTGGACTGCCAGGAGAGGCTAGGCCTGGTGGTGTCATTTCCTCCTGTGGAGCCTCCTAGCTGCAGGGTTGGGGCTAATCCTCACTGCCCATCTGCTCCTGTCAGCTGGCAGAATGCAAGCACAGTGCTCACGTGACAGGCTTGAGTTTAGGCTGGGGACACTCCTAACTGAACCAGGCACTGTGCTCTGGAGTCCAAGCACTGAAGGCCGAGGTTCCTGCTGTGTCACCTCAAGTGCTTCTGGCTCACAGCATGTACTCTACAGGAAGTTAAGAGCGTCATATCTGCTCTGGGAGCAACACTTGACAAATAAGCTTCGTTTCTCAGCAACCATTACAGCCCCAGGGCTACGAGTGAAGGGGGACTTGCCTTTCCGCCTCCACAAAAGTCTGGAAGAAAATTCTGTTCCCGCCCAGCTGCAGCAACCTCCTGGTTGGACAATGCTTGCTCTGTCCCCCAGGAGGTCCGCCTCTGGAGTTGGCTCGGCCCTTGCCTCACACTGCCCTTCCTGGTCCTTAAAGCCCAGACCGGCCACTGAGGCTCTGGCCCAGTGCTCTTCAGCCAGGACAACTCTCAAGACCCACCCAAGAGACTGCCTGCGTCAGTCATGGGCATGCGATCGCAGGCTGTGGAAGAGGGCCTTCTCCCCTCCGTACCAAGATGGACCTCTCTCTGCATAGTCAAGGTGAGAACGTCTTCATGGGGGGAGTCTGTGGGTGGCCGCTAGCACCCACAGCGGCCAGGCTCGCCCTCTCCCCTGCCCTGCTGCTCTGAGCAGACAGACCTGGCGCGCTCCCCAAGCCGCCCACTTCTACCCTGTCCCCGCCAAGCACCGGTACCTGGAGGGCGGTGATGAGGCCGGAGGTGAGGGTTCAGTACCCATCTGTGACTCCTCCCTCTTCCAGTTCCTCTCAGGCTGCTCAGGCAGGATACCAGCCTGATGTGAAGTTCCAGTCCCGCCCACCCTTGGGACCCAAACAATGTAGCTCTCTCCTGGGTAATTTTACAGATTAAAAATCTTCATCCAGGGCTGATACATCTTAGCACCCAGCCAAAGCCCAAGAAGGGCTGGGTGTTAGAAGAGCTAGCTGCAGGCATCGAACATTTTCATATTTCGTGTTAATTACAGTATCTAACCTTGCACTTACCCCTGAGCCTCCAGCTCTTCCACTGGGTTGGGCTCTTCTCTCGCTCCATGGCCGTGGCCATTCCCTCCCCAGCGCAGCTCTAGGCCCCTGGGGCTCCAGCTGCTATAAAGCGCCCACTGATCTGTAAGATCCACCAGCCAGGCTGCCCAGCCTCTTGCCAGCTGCCAGATTGCAGTCAGGTGCTCCATTCTGCAGTAATCAGAACCAGACCGCCAAACCCAGCCTTTGCCAGAACAGGATGAGCGTGCTCTGCTGAGAGACTGGCGGCAGGCAGAGGCAGGCCAGCAGGCCCAGAGGGCTTGAGCAGTGCTGGGTTGCTTTGAGCACCCACCCCGGCGCCGAACTCGAGGCAGTTCCCACTTCTCAGCCCTGAGGTCCAATAGCTCCATTGATTCCAAAAGGGAGATGCCCGCGGGGAAGGTAGCAGCAAAGGAGTTTAGGATCTGCCAAGCAATGCTGGGAACGCGGGAATGGTAACAGGTTCAAAGATGCTAGGGCCACATCCCTCCCCTCCCTATGACCATGGCCCATAGCGTAATTCCGGGAAAAGAGGAGAGAAAACTCCAGGAAGCGGCACCCTGAGACCTGGCCGGGCGAAACGCTAGGTGTCTTAAGTCTAGCGCCTCCACCAGGCGTGGCCTGGTTCGGGCCAGGATCAGACCAGGTCCCGCATCCGGCTCCTGCGACGGAGACCCCACCGCTGTTCTCCGCGGAGTCTGTGCCGCTCGCGCGTTTCTCTCCGCGCTGTCCCCTGGCCTCTGTGCCCCCTGCAGGCTGTCCGCAAACGCGCCGTCCCTCCCCGGCTCGGTCCGCAAGCCTCGGCTGGAGCTGCCTGAGCGGCTCGCGGGAAGGACAGTGGGAGGAGAGGAGGGAGAAAGGAGGCGGCGCGGGCGGGGAGCGGGGGGAAGGTGACGATTGGAGCCCGGAAAGAAGGAGGGAACCGGAGGGCGGGAGGAGACGGCGGGCAGCGGGCACAGGGCGCGACGGGAGGGAGCCAGCCGAGCGCCCGTCCCGCCGCCTCCCGCGTGTCGCGGCGCGGCTGGCCGGGATGGGCTGGCCCGGGGGCGCCCCCTGCTGCTGCCCCGGCCCGCCGCACCCCCGGCCCTCGGGGCGCCCCCCACAGGTGAGTGCCTGCGCCACGCCGGGCGGGAGCGCGGGCGGCGGCCTCTGCGTCACAGAGCGCGGTCCGAGCCAGGGCGGGCGCCAGAGGGCGCGGAGCCACGGGGCTCGGGGAGCGTCGGGCACGGCGGGAGCCCAGGCTGGGGCTGCGGCCCGCACCGTCCTGCGCGGTCCTGGGCGGGGCGGGGGGGGGGTGCGGGGGGGCGGTTGGCGACTCTGGCTGACCAGGGGGCGGGGCACCGCTGTCGTCCTAGCTCTCACCGCCACGCCTTCCCGGGGCTCACTGCGCACTGCTCTAAGGTGGGGCCGCTCGCTGCCAACATCCCCAGCTCCAGCGACAAGCGCACTTTGAGCACAAGATGCCCTTGGCGTCTGGCAGCAGTGTTGTGGCCTTGACCTGGCAGCGTGCATGCAAACTTTTTCCTCCCATCTGGGACAGACACTGAGGCAGAGTGCAGTAGGCAGATGACGCTGATCCCTCCTGTCAATCAGCCGTCCTATATCCTTCTACTTCCGACCTGCCTAGACACCCCTGGGTCCCTCTGGACACACCCTTGAGTCCTACCTCCCATCCCCTCCCTCCTTTACTGGGCCTCACTCCTCTGTGGCCCGGCTCCCAGCCTCTCATCCAACCACAGCTATTTCCAGGAAGGGGGGTGTGTGGGTGGGTGGAGGGGTTTCTCCAAACAAACCCAAGGCTTCGGAGTGAGAAGGGGCCCGTCTGGGGAGAAGCAAAAAGGCTCTGGAATATTCCAGGCAGGAGGTGGGAGGCGAGGATCCATGGGATCCAGCGAGATCGCCTCAACTACTCCCCAGCGCACGCTGCCCCTGTCCTTTCAGAAGTCCACCACTCCCATGGAGGGCACTCAGAGCCTCCAGCCCTCGCCGTCACTGAATCACTCTCACTTCTCTAGGTCTGGGTGGGCCGATCAGTTCAGTGAGGCCAGAGGATGTTTGGGGACCTGTCCCAGAGGGGACCCGGCTTCCAGTCCCAGCAGAGACAGCAGATGTGAGACTATATCCCTTAGGAGCAGAGGGAAAGCTGGGTTAGGGAAGCCACAGTCACCCAGGCACTGCCCTGACCCATCTCTGCCAGCAGGGCTGGGTGCTGAAGCAGGCTAGGCCCAGTTGCCCACCTGGCCATCGGCCTGGAATGTCCTGGGACACAGCCAGGACTCTAGGGATTGAAGAGGCAACCCTCTCAAGTTACAGGGCCGGCCCACGCCTTGCCATTCAGGTGCCACCTTCAAGCCAGGGTACACGGGCCACAGGCTTCCTGGAGAACTGGAGCATGCAGACAGCGGCCTTGGGCCTCTCAGTCTGGCCACAGTTCTGAAGCGTCACAGAGAGGACTAGACCAGCCCTTCGTCTAGATGGACATAAGGCAGAGGAGGGAGGCCCTGAGGGACCCCGGGAGAGAAGCCAGAGCTGGGGGAGTGGCACTGGACATTCAGTAAATACCATGCAAATGAGGATGACACGCCGGTACATTCTTTCAAGTGACAGCTATAGCATTCCAAAGGCTACTGTCCAGGGCTTGGGCTGAGAACCCCCAGGCCGTTGACCCTTGTTTAGGAAGGTTGTTCCATCCTCTCCAAGGCCCCATCCACCTCCTTCCCTTGACTCCTGGGACAGGAAGTTGGCCCTATTCCCAGGAGGGACGAAGGAGGCCCTAGAGGGGGTGGAGTGTGTGTTGGGAGGGGGCCTCTGTCCGGTCCTCAGGCCCAGTGACAGCCACAGAGGAAGGAGAGCCAGGCCCAGAAGAGCCATGAAGGTAGCGTCCTGTGGAGGTGGGAGGGTGGGATCCCCAGCAGTCTCGGGTGCAGGACTGGGCCAGGAACTGTGGGTTGTACCTGGAGAGAAGCTGGGGTCGTCAGGAGGAACTGCCAGGTGCTTTGGGTTAGAGCAAAATGGACCCGTCCTGTGGACAGTTAGGCCTCCTGGCTGGAACTTGGCCTTGAGGGGGCACTGCAAGCCCCTTTTCCCATCCGACAAGACAGCCCTCATCCCTCCTTTCTTTCACCCGCAAGATCTTGAGTCCTGTGCGGCCAGGGGCACCGGTTCCCAGTCCCACTCCCTTCCCACAGGAAGTCCCAAGGGAGCGTAAGAGTTCAGGCTAGGGACTGGCTGGGACAGAATGTTCTCCACCGGCCCTTTAGCCCTGCCCTGAGACCCGAATTCCCACCCTGCGCCACTGGCTGGTTCCAGGGCTGGATCTCAGGACCACAGAGCCCTGCACCCGGGTGGGAGGCAGCTCGGGGGAGATGGGGAGAGCCAAAGAACTTAGGCTGACACTCCCAGCAGGGTAGATCCTGGGAATCTGATCTCCTGGCCTCCCCCACATCCTCCCCCACCCCACTTCCTGGAGCAGCGACCTGCCCCCTTCCCGCCTGCACTTCCCTGCACTTCCAGGGCCAGGCCCCTCCACACACCAGCCAGACAGCCTCCCCTCCACCCAAGGGAAGCGCTGCCTCAGCCAGGCTGCTTCCAGGAAGCCCCAGGCCAGGCCCCCGCATTGTTCAGGCCCTGCAGCCAAGAGCCCAGCCAGACACCATGAAGTCCAGCGGCCTTATGGAAAGGTTGCTCAGAAACCTGGGGTGGAGGGACAGCAGCCAGGCCACCAGCAGGGTAGGACTGCCCACCAGCTGGGCGAAGGTGGGGCAGGGCGGCGGCTGGGAGCAGGAGGATCCTCTCCTGCTGTTCCCCCTCTCAGCATTCCCTCATCCCTTTGGGCCCTGAGGTGGCGGGGATGGCAGGGCTTTCCTACCATCTGTTTCACTGCTCTGAGCCTTTTCTGACTTGAGCCTGAATAAGCCCTGAGTAAGAGCTCAAACCCTGACTTCCCGGGGAAGCTTGGGGGGAAAAGGGAGGGAGGAGGCCAGGACCCGAGGCAGGACCTACACTGACATCACCTGCACGTGATGTTATCAGCAAGTCCTGGCGGGGTCTCACCTCCAGCACAGAGAAGTTGTAGAACAGTTTGGGGACCAAACCTACTCCCTCGCTGTCCCCCCCTTCCCTTTCCTCCCTCTACCTTTCCAAGGTGTTAACACTACCCTGGGCAGATCCAGGGCACCTCTGTCCCCACTGACCTTCTGCCTCCCAACACGGCCACCCCTTCCTCCGCATACAGCTGCTGCCTGCCGCCTCAACGCAGCAAGAGTAAACATGTTGTTCTGACAGTGGGGAGGCTGGCAGGTCAGCCGCCTGGAGCTCAGGACTGGCTGCCATCAGTCCCAGTTATATGACGGTGTGCCTGTGTGACTGGGCCTTCGTCAGGGGAGGGCAAGATGGGGGAAAAGTCAGGCCCCCGCTCTGCCCTCGAATTTGAAGTGGCAGTGACAAGGACATCACATAGCAGGGCCACGTGAGGGGCCTGCGTGATCCCTTAGGGAGGAGCTGACCCAGCCAAGGTGACGCAAGGGGTCACATTCCAAGCCCTGTGGAGGACTGGCCCATGAGTACCCTGGAACAGCTGTGGCCAAGTGTGCCTTAGAGTGCAGAGACTTGGCTGGAAGAGAGGGAAGCAGCGAAGCGCTGAGGCCAGGTCCCTGCCCAGCCTTGGAGATGGGCCCACTAGGAACTCACACCCCCGTCTGTCTGCCATCCCACCCGCAGCCTAGGAAAGCAGAACCGCACAGCTTCCGGGAGAAGGTCTTCCGGAAGAAAGCTCCAGTGTGTGCGGTGTGTAAGGTGGCCATCGATGGGACTGGCGTCTCATGCCGAGGTGAGGTGCTCTTCCCGTGTCTGAGCCCTCCGCTCAGCACTTGGGGGCTGCGTGGCTCCGGGGCAGGCCGGTTGACAGAGCGGAAACAAGAGCCCTCGCCCCCCCCATGACACCCACTTTGCCACAACCCAGATTTGTGACTATACCACGTTCCCATCCTCACCTGTGACTGAGGGCTTTCCTTCGCCTCATCCTCCTCTTCCTCCTCCTCTCCCCCTGCTTCTCCCCCTCCCCCCCCCATTCATCCTATACCATAACCTCTGTCCCTCTTCCCTGACTCCAGAGCAGACCTGCTGATACCAAACCCTCCTCCCTCCCGAATGCCAGCAACATAGGCTTAGAGTCCCAGGGCTGGCTCTCAGGGCCTGGGCAAGTGGAGGACAGCCACCTCCACTGCTCCCATACGCCTCTGCTGACCCCATCCCCCTCCCTTTCTCTCTCTAGTCTGCAAGGTGGCCACACACAGAAAATGTGAGGCAAAGGTGGGTATCTGGTCTTGTCTAACGGGGGTGGGTGTCCTCTCCCTGCCCAAACAGGCCTCTTCAGCCACAGGGCACGGGTCTTCCACTAGTCTCCTGCCTGTCCTGGAGACCCCCCCTGGGTGGCAGGGGGCGGTGTAGGGCCCTTTAAAAGCCACCTACTCCACCCCTGGAGGGTTGGCCCAGGAGGGTGGACAAGTGAGACAGCGTTTGTCTTGGTGCTGTGCCCAGGCTGCAGCTGGTGAGAGGATGGGGGGGAGGAGGAAGGGCGGGGTGGATAGAGGAGAGCAGGATCTCAGAGCCCAGGCGCCCGGATGGGCCGTGCCTTCCCTCTGGAGAAGGGTCCTCAGGATGCCCGAGCTGGTCTTATCCTGGGTGATAAGGCTGAGCCTCTTCAGGTGGTACCCACCGTCCGCTAAGAACCTGAGGCAGCCCCATCTCTGAGGAACCATCCCGGTCCTCCTCCTTCAGTGCGGGGGGTAGCCCCAGGGCCTCAAGGAAGCTCTGTGCCCATGGGTGGGGTCTCAACGGTGAAAGAGGCTAGTGTCCACCCCTGGCCATTGCCTGCCTGCCTGGGTCTATATATAACTCCTGTCTTGCAGCTGGATGAATGGGGGTCTGTGTGGGCAGGGGGCTGAGAGCCAAGAGCAACAAGCGGGGGGCCTGGGGGTGGGGGACTGAGAGGCCAGGAGCAAGGCTCCCTTAAATAGAGGGACCTCGGCGAGAGCCTGCTCATCAGCTGACAGCCCCTCGCCTGCCTGCTGAGGCCGGGCACCCCACTTCACCAGCTGTCTCCTTCCAGGTAACGGCCTCCTGTCAGGCCCTGCCCCCCGCGGAGCTGGTGAGTGTGTCCTCGGATGGGGCGGGGAAGGCAAGGAACCTGACTAGTGTCCACAGGGTCCGGTAGTCTCAGAGTGGGTGACCGAGGAGGTGGCCTAGAACTGGGTGCTGCGGCAGTGCTCGGTCATCGTCAACACACGACTGCGGGAGCCCCTCGCGGTCACTGTCTTCTAGGGCCTGTTGAGGGTTAGAGTCCTGTCCCCAGGGAGTGGACACTCACGTGTTCCCCCAACCCCTGGGGGGGCCGTACTGGTCCTTGCCCTGCCCTAACCGCGCCCATTTCCTGCCCCACCTCCTCCCTCTAGCGGAGAAACACCGCCCCAGTCCGGCGCATAGAACACCTGGTAAGGGATTCCAGGGGCCTGGGCGGGGAGGGGCGAGGGGAGGGGAGCTTCAGGAGTAGGAGCCTGCCTTCCTGGAGACCACGGTTTGTTGGGAAGCCTGGAAGAGATGCAGCCAAAGAGTTGTCTCCGTACTGTTCTCATCCACCAGGGGTCCACAAAGTCTCTGAACCACGCAAAGCAGCGCAGCACTCTCCCCAGGTGAGTGAGGGCGCCCGGCGAGCGCACGTGGGCACTCTCCAGCGGACCCCCAGTAGAACACCCCAGGACAGAGCCCCCACCCGGACCACCCGCCCTTAGGACCCAGCAGGCCTCTCAGTGCTCCCCAGGACCCTGGCCATACTAGCCCCTCCCCAGGCGCCGCCCAGCCTCCGTGCCCTCTCAGCCTTGCGGCCTCTCCCAGGAGCTTCAGCCTGGATCCGCTCATGGAGCGTCGCTGGGACTTGGACCTCACCTACGTGACCGAGCGGATCCTGGCCGCAGCTTTTCCTGCACGGCCAGACGAGCAGCGACACCGGGGCCACCTGCGTGAGCTGGCCCACGTGCTGCAGTCCAAACACCGGGACAAATACTTGGTGAGGAGAGGGCTCGGCCAGATCCAGCCAATGAGAGAGCTGCGAGCTCCGAATGGGGCGGGGCTGCTGTTGGCCACCGATCCCAGAGGCGGGGCTGCGGGGGCGGGGCGTGAGGGTGGGGGCGGGGCTGCGGGCGGGGCCGGCGCGCAGCTTGCAGGGGGACTCCGCCCCAGAGAATCTGCCTGTTTTCGAACAAGATTCTCCTGGAGAATCCACCTCCAGCGCCTGTGTCTGAAGTCACCCTCCTCTAACTCTTCCCTTTATTTCAGCTCTTCAACCTGTCAGAGAAACGACAGGACCTTACCCGCCTGAACCCCAAGGTAGGAGCGAAAGGGCCTGCCTGGCCTTTAGGCCGAGCCAACCCCGAGAGAAGACTGCCTCCCTGTTAGTAGTAGTTGATGTCCATTTTCAGTCAGACCACTTAGGATCCCTAAAAACGCGGTGCGGGCGCTACCAGCCTGCTGTATGGCTGAAGAAAGGGTCCAAGCTGTTGTGGACTGCTGCAAGCTCCACCTCACCCCAGGTCCCTGGATTGTGCCCATGTGTCCCCGCCTCACGCACACAGGGCGGCCCGTCCTTCCCCAGGTGCAGGACTTTGGCTGGCCGGAGCTGCACGCCCCGCCTCTGGACAAGCTGTGCTCCATCTGCAAAGCCATGGAGACGTGGCTCAGCGCTGACCCCCAGCATGTGGCCGTGCTGTACTGCAAGGTGGGCTGGGATCTTGGGGGTCACAGAGCTGGAGCCACCTCCACCTAGAGGCCACGGGTTCCCCAACCCCGTCTCTCTGTCTCTTAGGGGAGCAAGGGCAAGCTTGGGGTCATCGTGTCTGCCTACATGCACTACAGCAAGATCTCGGCGGGGTGAGTTGCCCGGGGCCCCTCCTGGCCTGGCCCTGTCCGAGCTTCCCTCTTTAGTCAGAGAGGCCTGCACTGCAAACCTGCGTGCTACCACCTGCCTCCACACGAGCGCCAGCACTCATCAGCCGCTGGCTGGGCTAGCCTTAGGACTGTCGGCAGAGTGCCATAAGCTGGCTTAAAGTGGTGTAGCTCCTGGCTCACAGTTCTAAGACGTTAAAGCCCGAAGTCAGGGTGTCAGTGGGCCTCTCTCTCTTCGGGACCCTAGGCAGACTCCCTCCTTGCCTCTTTCCAGCTTCTGGTGGTGGCTGGCAATTCCTGGCAGCTCTTGGCTTGCAGTGGCTTCGCTCCAGCCTGTGCCGCCTCCGTCATGTCATCACGTGGCGCTCTCTTTGTGCGTCTCTTTCTGTTTCTTCTCTTCTAAGGACCTGTCCCCCTAACTGAGGGCCCACCTTGCTCCTGCATGATCTTAAGCTATCTAATCACATCTGCAAAGACCCTGTTTCTAAATAAGGTCACACCTGAGGTACATTTCTCCGGGAGGGACACAGCTCAACCCATCAGGTTGTCTAGAACTGACCCCTTTTACTAGCAAGGAAGGTCACGTTCAGGGGACAGTTGGCTGAGGCCCAACAGCTGGGACACTGACGCCACAGAGCGGCCAGCTCTCCCCACCAGCTCCCTCTACCCCAAGGGGATCCCTTGGCTCCTCCTTCCCTGGGGCTTAGGCATGGAGGGGCCAGAGCAGTACTGGTTCCTAAGCCTCCCCCTCAACCTGACCTGCTCTCCTCAGGGCAGACCAGGCGCTGGCGACTCTCACCATGAGAAAATTCTGTGAGGACAAGGTGGCCACGGAACTGCAGCCCTCCCAGCGCCGGTGAGCAGCTCGGGGGAGCCAGGCACCATGCCAAGCTCTGGGCAGTCAGAGCAAACAAGTTCAGGCTCTCCTGGCAATCATATGCTAGTGGAGTGGGAGGCAAGAAGCCATGCAGAAACCAGCTAGGTCATTCCAGCCGCTGATGGGGTCTGAGGTCTGTGAAGAGGTGGAGGAGCATTCTCATCCCGGGGTGGGGTGGGGGTCCGCACTGCGGAGTGGGGAGGCGCCTCTAGAGAAGGGAGCTGACGCAGCCCTGGCCTCCTCCCCCAGCTACGTCAGCTATTTCAGCGGGCTGCTGTCCGGCTCCATCAGAATGAACAGCAGCCCTCTCTTCCTGCACTATGTCTCTGTGCCCGTGCTGCCCGCCTTTGAGCCCAACACGGGTGAGTCCTGAGATGCGGCCCACAGGGCGGCTGCCTCCCAGCCCACTCAGCCCACAGCGCTCACGTACTTCTCCACCTCTGCAGGATTCCAGCCCTTCCTCAAAATCTACCAGTCTATGCAGCTGGTCTACACCTCTGGAGTCTAGTGAGTGCCATGCTGGGCCCTGACTCCCCTGGCCGTGCTTAGCTCCCCGAGGACCCGCCCTGGTCGCCTCTGACTGTCTGCCTTCCCTCTGCCCACAGTCGTATTGCAGGCCCCGGACCCCAGCAGCTCAGCATCAGCCTGGAGCCAGCCCTGCTCCTCAAAGGGGATGTGATGGTGAGGGGTCGCGGAGGGGGGATTCCTGAGGTGGGGATCACGGTGGGGGGGGCTTCTAGCCATATACTCAGCTGCCAAGTCGTCGCCCAAGCAGCATTGGAGGCCACCAGGGAAACGACGCCCTCTGTCCTAGAAGGACAGTTGACACCAAGGTTGGGCCAAAGCGCAGGGGGCAAAGGGCATGCGAAGGCCTGACCCTGCCTCCCCTCCCTCAGGTAACCTGCTATCACAGAGGCAGCCAGGGGACAGACCGGACCCGCGTGTTCCGAGTTCAGTTCCACACATGCACCATCCATGGACCACGGCTGACCTTCCCCAAGGACCAGCTGGACGAAGCCTGGGCTGGTGAGTCAGGCAGCAGGCAGCGAGCGGCAGGGGGGGCGGGCAGGGGGCGCCCGCGGGGCCAGGGACCTCACCGCCTCACCGGCCTCCTCCTCAGATGAGCGGGTCCCCTTCCAAGCCTCCGTGGAGTTTGTCTTCTCCTCCAGCCCCGAGAAGGGCAAAGGTGAGAGAGGGAGCAGAAGGGGCCGAGTGCTGAGGTGTGTGTCGGGGGTCCCCTGCCCCTCACCACCCCGGCGGCAACACCCACAGGCAGCACCCCGCGCAACGACCCCTCCGTGTCGGTGGATTACAACACGGCCGAGCCCGCTGTGCGCTGGGATTCCTACGAGAACTTCAACCAGCACCCGGAGGACGGCGTGGACGGTGCGGGGGGGGGGGACGGCGGGGGGGGGGGGGGGGCGGGGGGGGGGGGGGGGACTGACAGTGGGGCGGGGCTCGCCGGGGCACGCGAGCCGGCTCACGCCCCCTCCCCACCCCCTCCCCACCCCCCTCTCCGCCCAGGCTCCTTGGCGCACACCAGGGGCCCCCTGGACGGCAGTCCTTACGCGCAGGTGCAGCGGGTCCCCCGGCAGACCCCTCCCGCGCCCTCCCCGGAGCCTCCCGCGCCGCCGATGCTCTCGGTCAGCAGCGACTCGGGCCATTCGTCCACGCTCACCGCGGAGCCCACGGCGGAGTCCCCCGGCCGGCCTCCGCCCACGGCGGCCGAGCGGCAGGAGCTGGAGCGCCTGCTGGGCGGCTGCGGCGCGGCCGGCGGGGCCCGCGGAGCTGGGCGGGAGACGGCCATCCTGGACGACGAGGAGCCCGCGGCGGGCGCGGGCCTGCACCTCGGGCTGTACCCGGGCCACCGGCCGGGCCTGGGCCGCCACTGCTCCTGCCGCCAGGGCTACCGGGAGCCCTGCGGGGTCGCCAACGGGGGCTACTGCCGGCCCGAGGGCACCCTGGAGAGGCGGCGCGTGCCCCACGGCTACGAGGCGCAGGGCTACGTGGAAGCCGCCGCGGAGAAGAGGCGCCTCTGCAGGTCGCTGTCCGAGGGGCCCTACCCCTACGCGGCCGAGCTGGGGAAGCCGGGCGGGGACTTCGGCTACCGCCCGGCGGCCTACCGCGAGGTGGTGATCCTGGAGGAGCCGGGCATGCCCGCTGTGTGCTCGTGCCCGGCCTGTGAGGAGAAGCTGGCACTGCCCACGGCAGCCCTGTACGGACTGCGGCTGGAGAGGGAGGCTGGAGAGGGCTGGGCCGGCGAGGCGGGCAAGCCCCTCGTGCACCACCCCGTGAGGCCTGCACACCCGCTGCCTCTGCTGGTGCCGGCCTGTGGGCACCGCCACGCCCCGGTGCCCGACTACAGCTGCCTGAAGCCGCCCAAGGTGGGCGAGGACGGGCACGAGAGCTGCGCCTGTGCCGTGTGCCCCGAGGGCAGGTACGGGCTCCCAGGGTACCCAGCCCTGGTCAGCTATGGCTGTGGAGGTGCAGGTCCCAGCTACTGCCCAGCGTACGGCCGGGCACCTCACAGCTGTGGACCCCCGAGTGACGGCAGAGGGTACTCCAGCCCTGGCGCCCACTCACCGCGGGCTGGCTCGGTGTCCCCGGGAAGCCCGCCCTACCTGCAACCTAGGAAGCTGGGTTATGAGGTTCCTGTGGAGGATGGAAGACACGAGTACCCCCTGCCTGGGCACCTGGCCTCCGCAGGACCCTCGGCATCTACAGGTGAGGACGCTGGAGGGAGACTGCCAGGGTAGAGACATTCTAAGTGCTGCTGGGGACGCCATGGGAGGAGCCGAGCCAGTCAGGAAAGCGGGCTGCTGTTCACAGAGCTTCTCCCTCCCATCTCAGAGTCTCCTGAGCCATCCTGGAGGGACGGCTCCAGCGGACACAGCACGCTGCCTCGGTCGCCCCGAGATGTCCCGTGCAGGGCCCCTTCAGAGCTGTCTGGCCCCTCCACACCTCTGCACACCAGCAGCCCGGTGCAGGGCAAGGAGAGGTATGCAGAAGGCAGAGGCTGCTCGGGAAGGTTCTGGGGTCAGCAGCCCAAGGCAGGGGCTGTCTGACCAGCTACCTTTTGCCCCTGCAGCACCCGGCGGCATGATACCAGGTCTCCTTCCTTGGCATCTGCCCAGAGACTGAGTCCTGGCGAGGCCTTGCCCCCTGTTGTCCAGGGAGGCACTGAAAAGGCTCCTGAACTGCTGGCTACCAAGAGGCCTGAGCCGCTGGACCCTAGTCCCTTCTCCCAGACCTCCCCACCCAGCTCACCTAATGGCTGGCCGCAGGAAAGGAGCCCACCGGGCCAACCCAACAGTGCCAGTCCTTGGGGCCCTGTGCCATCCACCCTGCCTGGACTCCGCCATGCCCCATGGCAGGGCCCTCGGCCCCCCCCAGACAGCCCAGATGGCTCCCCTCTTACTCCCGTGCCTACCCAGATGCCCTGGCTTGTGGCCAGCCCAGAACCACCCCAGAGCTCACCCACCCCCGCCTTCCCCCTGGCTGCCTCCTATGATGCCAATGGTCCCACTCAGCCGCCACTTCCTGAAAAGCGACACGGGCCAGGATCTGGGCAACAGCCATCACCACCAGCCAGAAGCACCAACCATGTCACCTTTGCACCTCCTCTCCCCGATGTCACCCAGCCCCCAGGTATGAGGGTCCAGAGAGATCAGCTGTCCTTCAAAGAGTTTCATCTCCCAGAGAGGGGCCATGGGGAGCTGGGGTCTGAACTCCGTTCCTGCCTCTCCTAGAGCACCCTTTGCAAGAGAACCAAAGCAACGTCAAGTTTGTCCAGGACACATCCAAGTTCTGGTACAAGCCACACCTTTCCCGTGACCAAGGTGAGAGGCCAGAAAAGGTAGTGTGCCGTCCCTGTCCTCCCCCACCCCCAGGCCTGCCTCAGCTCTAAGTCTCTCATCCTGGTGGGCCTTTGGTTCACTCCAGTTCCACTCTTGGCTGGGTTGCTCACCAGAGCAATTCTAAGCTTTGGCCTCAAACTAAGTATTGTCCAAAGTCCTGTGACCCGAGGCCCCAGACTCCTGGCATCCCCATAGCTGTCTGACTGAGAGTTGGGAGCCTACAACCGGGCCGTGTGGGGCTGCCAGCCATCTCTCACCGTGTGCCCTGCAGCCATAGCCCTGCTGAAAGACAAGGAGCCCGGGGCCTTCCTGATCAGAGACAGCCACTCATTCCAAGGAGCCTACGGTCTAGCCCTCAAGGTGGCTACGCCCCCACCCAGCGCCCAGCCTTGGAAAGGTACGAAAAGCTCAAGCTGAGGGAGCAGCTGTAGGGAGGGGAGAAGTTGCAGGGCCAGGATGGTGGAGGGCACAGGACCTCTCCCTGGAGGAAAGGGGCAAGGAAAGCCCCCTGCTGCTCAGGACAGCCCCACGGGGAGAATCCCATACAACTTCACTTTCACCACCACTCCCTCCTCAGGGGACCCCTCAGAACAGCTGGTCCGACATTTCCTCATCGAGACTGGGCCCAAAGGCGTGAAGATCAAGGGTTGTCCCACAGAGCCCTATTTTGGTGAGAAGCGGGAGTCTGAGGGATGGGTGGCGCTCTTGAGGGAGAAGCCTCAAGAGGGCAAAGAGAAAGCTTGGCTCTCTGGGCTCCTCAGCATGGTTCTCCCCTTACAGGCAGCCTGTCTGCCCTGGTCTCTCAGCACTCCATCTCCCCCATCTCCCTGCCCTGCTGCCTGCGGATTCCAAGTAAAGGTGAATGATCCCAGCTCTCCTCACCCCTACAGCCAGCACAGGTCCTGCATCCCCCTTCCCTTAGGGCAGCCAGGGGTCCTGTGGTACAAGGAAGCTTCTCCCTCTTGACCTTCCTTGGTGGCCCTCCTCTCCCCAGACCCCCTGGAAGAAACCCCGGAGGCCCCAGCGCCCACCAACATGAGCACAGCAGCAGATCTCCTGCGCCAGGGAGCAGGTAGGGTGCCTCGCCTCCCTCCCTGCTGGGCAAAAGCACACTGTGGGCACCAGACACGGGGACACACTGAAAGGCGGGCAGAGGCACTTAACCCTCGAGGCAGGGGTGCCCCTTAGCTCTGGGAGGTGGGGAAGGGCTCGAGGGCTGAGCCCTCAGGTGTACTAGGTGGGAATCAGCTGCAGCAGAGGCAAGGACTTAAAATGTGTGTCCTTGGCCTCCTCCCACCCTTGCTGGCTGCCCTGGAGTCCGGGAGTTGCTTTCTAATTCGTTAGTACAGGATTCCAGTTGGTGGGATGCGAAGAGGCTGGTGGGTGGCAGAGCTGGGTCCTGGCAAAGCCGCGCTGGCTCACCAGCCTGTCTCTTTAGCCTGCAGTGTGCTCTACCTGACCTCCGTGGAGACAGAGTCGCTGACTGGCCCTCAGGCTGTGGCCAGGGCCAGCTCTGCAGCTCTGAGCTGCAGCCCCAACCCAGTTCCAGCCATTGTCCACTTCAAGGTCTCAGCCCAAGGCATCACACTGACCGACAACCAGAGAAAGTAAGCCTGGCATAGACCCAGCTCTGCAGAGTCTCAGGGAAGGGCCTTGGGGGCCGGGGCTGTAGTTTTGTTGTTTTTCCTTCTCTTCACGTGTGCGGGTGTGGCACGTGCGTATGCGTGTTTGCGCTTAGGTGCGACAGTGTGATAATTAAGTCTTCCTGGTCGCTGCACCTATTGAGGCAGGGTCTCAGCCAAACCCTGAGCTCACTGACAGCGAGTCTTGCTGGCCAGCTTGCTCCTGAGGCTAGAACTGTACCCCAGCTGCCTAGCGGTGCAAACTCGCTCTCTTGCTGGAGGGGCTAGCCCTGCCCCCACCCCGCTCTCCAGGAGTGACTTCCCTCACCCGCCCGCCCCTCACAGGCTCTTCTTCCGACGCCATTACCCAGTGGGCAGCATCACCTTCTCCAGCACAGACCCCCAGGACCGCAGGTGAGCTTCCTCAGGGCCCAGCCCCTCGGGCTCCGGAACCGGCCCTGGGCTGCACTCCTCCCATATGGCCCTCTCTTTTCAGATGGACCAACCCTGATGGAACCACCTCCAAGTAAGTCTCCCTGCCAAGTGCAACCTGGCCTGGCACGAGCTGCCCCTCAGGGCCTGCAGCGTCCCCCAGTGAGAGGGATGCTGAGGCCCAGCCCTGGCTCTGTCCCTGTAGGATCTTCGGTTTCGTGGCCAAGAAGCCGGGGAGTCCCTGGGAAAATGTGTGCCACCTCTTTGCGGAGCTTGACCCAGACCAGCCAGCGAGCGCCATCGTCACCTTCATCACCAAAGTCCTGCTGGGCCACAGAAAATGAAGCAATGCCACCAGCCCCACATCCACATCAACACCACACCCTCCCAGCACCCACAGCCCTGCCCTGGCCCTGGCGCCCACCCTAAGAGGGAGTGGGCCCAGCCTGGCCACTGCTCTTTCCTGCCCTTGCCTGCTAAGCTGAGGGAGTGGGCCCGTGAGATGACCTGGCATGTGAGCAGATGGCAGAGACAGGTGTGAGGAGGCATCCGGCGTGGAGCCCGGGAGGGGAACGACCCTGCCAGCTGCAGCTCCCATCATGGAGGGAGAAGGAAGAGGCTTGGGAGCTTCCTGTCTCCCTCGAAACAGAGACCAAAGTGGGGTCATGTACACAGAGGGAAAAGAGAGTCTATTTTTGTGTAATAAAGAATTTCTATAAACTTTTGAGTTGATCACTTCTTCGTAGGTGAAGAAGTGCCCGAGGTGCCCTTGAGGGCTCAACTGTGGCCCCAGCTATCAGCCTGCCCGGCCCCCTGCACTGCGAAGGAGTCCCTTTCCGTCTGTCCTGATAAATACGGAAACTCCGCCTTTATTGGTTGTATAAACATCTCTCATCTGTACATACATTTCCTACATCATAGTGCAGGGCCCAAAAGGTGGGGGCAAGGGAACCCCAGCAGCACAACAGCCCACCCCCCCCAGCCCTACCCACTGTGCAAGACACAAGCTCCTGCCTCCTCCTCTGTCCCTGTTCACGGTGAGAAGACAGGGAGGGCTGGTTGGGGGGAGGGCTCTACGCAGACACTAGAACCAAACACTGAAGCAAAACAGTCAAGTGGCAGAAGCAGCAAGCTGGGGCACAGGGTCGGGAGTGCAGGTAAAGGGACTCGAGGAGCCAACAGCCACAACACAACACGTGCCCGAGTGCCTGGAGGAGGAGTGCAGACAAGGAGAGGGGAGCGAGGCTGCAGTCCCATGTCACAGCCCATCACTCACACACACACTCAGCAACCTGAGTGTGTGCAGGCAGGGAGCCAGGCTCGGGCTTTCTGTGGTGTGGGCGGGGGTGGGACATCTCAGGAGAGAGTGGAGACCCAGATATGATGTAGGACAGCAGCCACTGGGAGGGGAGATGGCCATGACAGGCCCCTAGCCCAGCCAGGGGAGACAGCAGCAGCGGGCTCTATGAGGACGGGGGTGAACAGGGAGTTGAGGGGAACTCTGTGGTTGGTAGGCTGCCTCCACTCTACCCCAAGTACGCCGGTAGGCGCCCACCTCCCGGCTCGCAGGGCCCAGCGAGGTAACAGGAGATCCAGGTACCTGCTAACAGAGCAAGGGACCCGCCCACACATGTCAACCCTGCTCCTGGGCCGGTTCCTATCACCAAAGGCCCAGGCCTAGGGTCAGAGAGGTGCAGCCTGACCGGGCCTGAGCCAGCAGGAGCATGGTGATGCCCCCAAGGCCCGCTGGCGAGCCAATCCTGGGGTGAGCGGAGGAGGCTGCTGAAGGGCGGTGGACAGGGCCGCCTCTAGCCACTCAAGGGGTGCAGGTCCACTTTCACCTTCTCCCCGCAGCTGAGCATCCCAATGGTGGGAAAGAAGCCTCCAGAAGGGACGACGGCGTCCTTCTTCCCGATGATCTTGCCGTTCCGGGTGAAGAAAACCTGGTTTTGGTGGAGAGGAGAGGGTGGGCTCTGGCCCCTTCCCTGGGGACACTGGGGTGACTCAGGCATGGAGCCCAACACCCACAGCTTCCAGCGTGGGCTTTAGGAGTCAGTGGGGTAAGGTGGGAAGCAACCACAAGAGGGCGTGCGGAGGCTGGAAAATAGGCCAGAGCTATGGACTCTAAGCTGTGAGCCTGGGGCAGCTCCAGACCTTCGCCCCGCCCCGCCCCACCCCCACCCAACCTGACCTGTTGGTCCTGTTGCCAAGGTAGTCTGGCCCAGGGCCCCAGAATGAGCCCAAACCTCCCTACTTACCACAACCTTCTTGCCCTCATGCTCCTGTTCTATCTCTTCCCCATCTTCCTCCTCCTCTTCTTCGTCCTCATCCTCTTCGCCTTCCTGGTGCAGGTACATGACATTTCGGACGTTCCGGACAGCCCGGGCAGTTGGGGACAAGATCACTGTGTCACAGCTGTCATCACTGTCCCCTGGGAGACAGGAAACGTGAGCTCCTGTGGTTCTGTCCACTGCCCTGAGCAATCTGGCTACCCAACCTCACTCACCCTCACTGTCCAGAATGTAGTCCCGAGGGAACATGATTCCACAGCCCATAATGTCCCCTTTGTAACAGCGTGGTCCAAAGGGGTCCCCAACACCGCTGCCGTGGAAGATCTTCCCATCATCTGTTGGAGGGAGAGAGGGAGGGACACACTTGAAGAGATGAGACATAGGTGAGAGAGATGCAGGAGGGACACCAGGCTTTAACAGAGAACACAATGTCTGTTTGATTGAAGAACTGCTCAGAAGAAAGGAGAGGGTGCCTCGGGTGGATGAGCAAGCACAGAAAGGAGGGAGGGCTTCCAGGCACCGAGGCTTAGTGCTCAAGAAAGCTCTACAGCAAATCAGCAAGGAAAGAAAACAAGGGATGTGGTCAGGAAGGGCATGGGGAGCCGGGTCAGAGGCCTGGAATGTCCATTCTGGGCCCAGTTCTCCTGCCCTTGTCCTGTGCCTGAGAGGAAAAACAATATGAAAAGAAAGCCTGAGCAGCCTGAGAGAAGGAGAGAGAGAGCACATGTGAGCGAGCAGGCGTGGCCTTTCTATCCAGCAGCTTCCACTCACCTGCGTGGTATGCCACAGAGCCTCTGCTCCAGCCAGGATGTCTGTTCTTGGGGTAATCCTACACCAGAAGACAAAGCAAAGCTGTGACCCCATGCACGAGAGGACAGAAGTCAGCGGCATCTGCTGGGACGATGCAGACAGATGGCAGCCCACAGCCAGGAACCGGGCGGGGCGTGGGGAGCAAGGGCAGGGAGGGGCTGCTTCGGGACAGGGTGGCACATTCTGGCTACGGCCTCAGAGGCCGCCCACTAAGAGACGCTCAGAACCGCGCTCTGCCTCAGCTCACAGCTCTCCTCTATGGACCCCTGCTCACGTGTTCCCCCGAGCTCCCAGCTGAGCAATCCCACGGACAGACACACAGCACTTGTGCCCACCTTCCGGGCCAGCCCCAAGGCGATGTAGCACTTCTCTCCAGGGTCCACGATCTCTACCTCGAAGTAGTGGCTCCGGGTGCTGAGTGGGTGCCGAGCCTGGGCCAGCCCCACGTCCACGATGCTCTTGCCCTTCCCCAGATACTCCAGCAGCTGTGGGGCAAGAGCTAGGGGTCAGGTGAATGCTGACTGCCCTGACACTGGGTCCAAAGTGGCCTGGGTACTAGTTTTCTGTGCCTGATGATATCCCCTGGCTAAAAGGGAAAGGATTCTAAAGGCAAAGTGGACTCCAAGTTCTAGGCAGACAGGGAAGTCAAGGACGGCAGAAACAAGGGGACTGGCCTGAGATGCCTGGCTTCCTACAGATCCACTGTCTGGAGACTAGAGAACCACGAGCTTCCGGCACTGCCAGGAAGCTGACTGGGGGTTCCAGGGCGAACCATCCATTCCCTGAACAACCCCCCAAGCCCGTCTTCCCACCTGGAATCCAGAAGTCTTCTCAAGAGGCCTAATGAGAAGAGGGACAACCCCAGATATCTGAGGAGGGGCTCAGGTTCAGAGGCCGGTTCTGCACAGATGGGACTGATGGAGTTTCTCAAGATCTGTTATACTTGGCTCTGAAGAGAGCCATTCATTGCTGGGTCAGGGAGGTGCTCAAGGGAGCCAAGAACCCAGAGATGGCAACTCTACCCTTCAATTTCCATGGGCAAAGGTCAAAATTAAGTCAAATGGCAGGCCCTCCTCCTCCCGGCCCTGATTCAGGCTGGAGGGCGGTGGGAAGGTAGGAGAAAGGAGATGACTGAGAGGCTCTGAGTTCTTCAGCCCCTCATGGTCTTGCCTGCACACATAGGGTGGCAACCCAACCTAATTTTTACCTATCAGATGGCACGTTAACGCTGGGGCTATGACTTAACCCATCTCCCCTTTCACCTGCCTGGCATCACCTAGGATTCCTTAATTCTCTTTTAATTAACCTCGCTGCCCCTCACTTTCCTCTAACCCCCAGCCCTAGAAAAAGCGCCCTCCCTGGGGCGTCCTCCACTAATCCCTAGCAAACCTTGGGGTGATGGCCTGGCCCCACTGACATTCCTGCCTAAACCAGCCTGCACCAGCTTGAGGGCTGGGGCGTCTCTGCATCAGTCTTCACTACTCATCTCCTTTCAGCCCAGACGAGATCTCACTCTGCTCAGTTCCAGCACCGCCAAGTCTACCCCCATGCTCTAAAGACAGGTGAGGACACAGGGAAAGCCGGAGGAGTGTGGGAGCCACCAGGTCAGCACCCGCTGCTCACTCTGCCTGCAGCCGGGGGGAGGGGGCGGGGGGGCTGACTCCCAGCCTCAAGTGTGGCTTGGTGCTTACTGACCTCATCTATCAAGCAGCCTGTGATCCTCTCCACCCAGCACTGCAGAGCCAGAGGAGGAAGCCACAGCTGCCCTGGACCCGTTCTGTCCAGCTGGCCTCCGTGTTGGAAACAGGGTGTTCTCTAGTTCCATGGCCAAAAGACAGCCCATGCCGAGCCTGGTCCTTGGGAAAAACCCGCCCAGCCTGCCCTCTGCCTCAGCCCGCAGAAGGCTGCTGCAGTTCTGACAGGGTGGGGACGCTTCCTAAGGCCAAGAGGCCATGCGTTGACCTGCCCTGACACGGAGCTTCGACCCACACCCACTGACTCCTGCAGAGCACTGCGGCAGTCTGCTGATACCCTGGCCCTCTTCAGGACAACCACCCCAAACCACAGGCTGCTCCCCTGCTCCCAGCAAGCCCTCCTGAGCCTGCAGCACTGAGGCCAGAGGGGAGTCACTACCCTGCCAGGTCTTTCTGGGTGCCACTGTTGGGAAGGTCTGTAGGCTTGGCCCTTCAGTCTACCTCTCACTTTGAAAGATCCAGTTCCAGCCTGAGCTAGTATTGCTTAGCTGCAGTAAGCCTCAATACCTTTACCTCTGTAAGCCTTAATCGCTCCATCAGTGAAGTGGGGATAAAATGACCTGCAGCTTCAAGACCAGGTAAAGAGAAAATGAAGTGATCACGGTGTCAATGGGGCCTGGCAACCCCCAGCTGATGAAAATACACATTCTCCCAGGAAATGGAGACTGGTTACATTGCGACTACAAATCACAATGGACATGACCTTTCAACCTGAAAGGAGGGAGGAGGAAGGAGGAGAGGAAGGAAGAAGGGAGGGGGAGAGGGGGAAGGAGAGAGAGAGGGAAGGAAGGAAAGAAGGAAGTGAGGAGGGAAGGAAAGAAGGAAGTGGGGAGGGAGGGAGGAAAGGAAGGAAGGGCACTACAGGGGCGCCAGAGGATTCCTCTGGTGTCAGCTTATTGATGGGAAGCTGCAACCTGCTGTCAATGCCCAATGCCACCACCTTGGGAAAAGATCAAAATTAAAAACCTACTTTTTTTTCCCCTTGTGGTACTAGGGATTAAATGAACCAAGGGCTTCTTGACCACTGAGATACTTCAAAATCTCAAGCACAGCCTGGCAAGGTGACACTCACCTTTAACCCCAGTGTTCAGGAGGCAGAGGCTGCAGAATCCTTGTGAGTTCAAAGCCATCCTAGCCTACATAGAGAATTCTAGGCCAGCCAGGGCTACAGACTGAGATCCTGCTTAAATAATAATGATAGTAATAATAATAATGAAAATAATATCTTAAGTATGGCTTCTCTTGAAATCCATACAGTTCTCATGCCATCATAATTGGAAAATCTTAAGTCAGGGACCCTCAGTACTCAACTGTCCAAAGGACTGCTTGGGTGTACCTTTCCTGCTCGTTGGCTGTCTGACAGCTGAAGCGAGTCCGTCCTGTTTGATACTGGGGTACACGCCACACCGCCATGCTGCTAACTACTTGTGTCTGGGACCGAAAGATGTTCACTGTCCTGCACATGAGCTAAGTGCCCTGGGTGGGCAAGATGGCTCAGCAGAGGAAAGGGCACTTGCTGCCAAGCCTGATGATCTGCGTTGGACCCCCTCAAGACCCAGATGGTAGTAGAAAGACCTGATTCCTGCAAACTAAACTCTGGCCTCTGCAGGCATGCCATGATATACACTGTGTATATACACACACATATGAATAATAAATGTTGTGGGGTTTTTGTTTCTTTCTTTTGTTTTTTTAGAGGCAGGGTTTCTCTAGCCCTGGCTGTCCTCGACTCTGTGCAGCCCAAGCTGGCCTCAAACTCAGAGATCTGCCTGCCTCTGCCTCCCTGACCACTGGGATTAAAGGAATGCAGCACCTCACCCAGCAAATAAATGTTAAAAATAAATGACCGTCCCAACTGAAATAACACTTGTGTCCTTTTGAGAAACCTTAGAGTAAGTCAGATTCAAGGCCTCCCCAAGTCTCGAGGGTTCTGGGGCACCCTACTGAGGGCACCATCCAGGCTGGAAGGGCCCCAGCAACAAGGGATGTAAAAACGAGGGCCAGGAGTCAAATGTTTGTGAGCATCTTTGGAGGAGTGAGTGACTGTCCTTCTGGTCCTCTGACCAGAAACACAGCAGACAGTACAGAAGACCAGAAGATGAAGGAAACCAGGAAAGTTACCTTCACTGGAAGGACGGGGACGGTCCGCAAACCTAAAAGGACATATATCCTTCAAGAGACCCATCCCTCCGGCTGCAGAAGCAGCTCAGTCCCTGGAGCCCACATGAGGGTTAGAAGCGGTTCCCACATTTGTCCTCTGACAAACACATGCGCGTACACAAACAAACTAAATGAATAAATGAATAAAAGATATGCGAGAGAACTGGAGAGAGAAAGAGACTGGCCCCTGACTAGCCAAGCATGGTGGCTCACATCTGTACTCTCAGTACTCAGGAGGCTGAGGTAGGGTTGCCACAGGTTCAAGGCCAGAACAGTGAGCTCCAGGGCAGCCTGACTACAGCGAGACCAGACTGTCTGGAAACAAAGACCTGCCAAGTGCACCGAAGAGGAGCCTGTGCTCACAGCGCAGTGGACCAACCCCACAGCCCCGCAAGCTGGCCTAGCTGTGGCGAGGGTTTGAAGACAACCACACTCTGCAGCTACGCTCAAGGGGGAAATTCCTAAAAGAGCAGACTGAGGGTGCTGAGGGGAGGAAGGAAGGAAGGAAGGAAGGCTATTTTTAATGTCTACAGGATTCCACCTCAATTAGAAAAGCTGCCGGGAGTAGAGTGGGGACAGGTCCAGGCAGGGAAAGGATGCCAGGAAAACGTTTGGGGAGAGGTCAGAGATGAGAGCTGGAACATGGCCCTGGCTCAGGCCCAAGATCAACTGTGGATGTTGTCACAATGATGGTACAAGGGGACCAAGAGGAGGGATGAGTCAAGGGATGGGCATCTGAGCCTTGGCTCACAACCACCACAGCCCTTGCACCCCAGGACACCCCAGAAAAGCAGAGTGTCAGCACAGCAGGGGGTGCACTTTCTGCCATGTTCTCTGAACTCAATTTACCTTGAACTCCACAAGGAAAGGCCGCCTTCTTCATAAATCCACTTCCATCCCCCACTGCTTCTGTTTTCCTACCACAGGCTAACACTGACAGTGCAGCTGATTCAGGGTCCCCAAAGCTGGGCCTGGGTGCAGGCATGTAATCCCTACTACTTGGAGGCATGTGGATTCAAAGTTCAGGACCTGCCTGGGGTACAGACTGAGTTCTGAAGCAGCACAGCAGCGCAGCTGAGTAAGACCCTATCTCAACAACAGCAACAAAAAAACCAGCAAAGGAGCTAGAGATACAGTTCAGTGGTAGGGGACTTGTTCAGCCTGTGAAAGAGTCAATACCCAGCAACACACACACGCACACCAACTCTGCAAATCCTGTCCCACAGGTGTGCCTCAGTTCTCTAATGACAGACCCCGGACCCCAGCTGAGTTGAATCACAACAAATCCTAAGTTGTGGGATCCCCAGTCAGCTGTCCTGAAGGAAGAGAAGCTTCGGCAGAGAGCTGTCACCTGTTCTGGGGATCAGCAACCAGGCTGAGCTCCCAAATGAAGGAAAGAGAGGAGGGAAATCTATGCTCAGAGCACAGCTCTGGACTCCAAGAAGCATGTCAAGCTATTCCACCTGAACTCCCACCTCCCGAAGCCACGCTGTACTGTACGCACCCATACAGGGGCACAGGACTGCTCAGGCCAGGTGGGCAGAATGTAAATCCAAGGCCAGCCTAAGCAAGTCCCTGACCTATAGCAAGATAAAGAGAAGAAAGAGGCAGGCTCGATGACATGCCTTTAACCCCAGCACTCAGCAGGCAGAGACAGGTTTGAGGGCCAGGCCAGCCTGGGCTACACAGTGAAAGGGCGGGGATGCGCTGTCCTTCCTCCTGGTTCTAAGCTGTCAGATGCCCACGTGTGCTCTTCCCACGTCCCCCTGCCCGCTACTCACCGTCCCGCAGACTCTGACATCATGCAGCCGGCCCCACTCGTCCTCATAACTGTCCACCATCATGACGCTGTCATCCTCACGGCCCAGCTCAGCGTTGAGGTGCAGCCGCACCTCCTCGCCCAGGGAATGCATGCCCACTGCAGGGAAGAGCCCGTCTGGGGACATGGGCATGATGGTGGAGCCCACCTGCAGCACAGGGAGGGGGGGAGCTGCCATCCAGTTCTCACCTCCAAGAGACACAGCCAGCAGCTGCCACACACACACACACTCTCCCTCTCTTTCTCTCTCTCACACACACTCTCCCTTTCTTTCTCTCTCTCACACATACTCTCCCTCTCTTACATACACACTCCCTCTCTCACACACACTCTCCCTCCCTCTCTCTCTCACACACACACACACACACACTCCCTCTCTCTCACACATAAACACTCTCCCTCTCTATCACACACACTCTCCCTTCTTTCTCTCTCACACACACTCTCCCTTTCTTTCTCTCTCTCACACATACACACACACACACAGATCTCAGAAAAACAGGTTCGGCAGAGTTCTAAGATTTGCCAAATGCTCATGGCCAGGCAGGTCACAGGGAGCTGGGAGGCCAGCCTCAGCCCCTGGACTTGCTGCCTGCCGTGTAAGCAGCACAGGAGCACCAAGGCACACCTACTAAGGCTGCAGAGGGAGCCGACCTCTGGCCGGGCTTGGGAAGCAATCCACCCCCAGCAGAGGGAGAGGAGGGGAGGAGAGGGAGAGTCTCAAAGTCCCACCATCACCACTACCACCATCTCTGAAGAGAAATCGATTCAAGAAGAAAGAAAATAAAACCAAAGCACAATCCCCCAGTTTCCAAGTCACACTCCTGAGACCCTCCACTTAATACAGCTGAACCATAACCTTTCCCTGTTTACATTTTAAAAATCATTTGTTTTTATTTTATGTGCATTGGTGTTTTGCCTGCATGTGTATCTGTGTGACGGTTTCAGAGCCCCTGAAACTAGAGTTAAGACAGTTGTGAGCTGCAATGTGGGTGCTGAGAACCAAACCTGGGTCCTCTGAAGAGCAGCCAGTGGTCTTAACCACTGAGCCATCTCTTCATCCTGCTTTTTATCTGTTTGAAAATTTCATACATGCATATAATGTACTTTGATCAAATCAGCCCATTTCCTCTGCTCCAATTCCTTCCCTACCCCCCCCCCAACAAATCCCTCCTAATTTCACGTGCTTTTTTGAACCCAGAGTCAACTTAGTGGTGCCTATACATGCATGTGTGTGGGCTACCTACTGGAGCATGTAGCCTTTCAGGGGCCACTTCCCGAAAGAAGACTTCTTTAAGATAGTGCCTCGTGTAACCCAACTGTCCTTGAACTCATTATGTGGTGAGAATGCCTCTGAACCTCTGATTCTCCTGCCTCCATCTCCTGGGTGACCTCTGTTTCTGTGGTGCCAGGAACTGAACGCAGAGCCTCCAGCATGCCAGCCGAACACACTGGCTATGTTCACACACCCTTCCCTCCTGTTTGTTCAAAATCTCCCTCTGAGACATAGATTTCTGACCCTGCTAGTTGTAGTTACTTCTCCTTGAACTGGTGATATGAGCATGTCCCCGCTGCCATGGGCAGGGAAGAGTCTCCGGGGCTGTCTGCTCACCCGTTTCCCGTTTTTGGTGAAGAAGATCTGGGCAGTCTGCACATCAAAGGACACAGGCTCAATGCCACAGCCGATCCGGTCCCCAGAGTTGCACTTTGACCCAAACTGGCGCCCCTTGGCTCGACCATTGTACAGCCTATGGAGAGAGTGCACAGGACTCTGTGGTGCCCTCTCAGAAGCCCCACTCTTGACAGCACCAACCTGTGTCCTGATAGTCAGGTCACCCTCTCTGATGTCCACACCAGCAAGGGTGGCTCACCTAACGACGTTTATGAAAAAACTCCTAAAACAGGAAATAGTGATGCAGTGGAAGTTTTGGGGTCTTTAAAAACTCAGTTATGTTCTGACATGTAAACATGTTTCCGTTTTAATCCCAGGTGTGGGATATGGGACTGCCCCAGATGGTCACAGCAGCTGACTATTTGCCTTGTGTGGGCTCTGAGAGGGGCGCTTTGCCAGCTGTAAATGGTTTAACTCTGAGGACTCTGGAGAGTGAATAAAGGCCAGACCCAGAGTGAGAAGGGGGTCTCTGAGAAAGAGGAAAGGCTGCTGCTCCCCGCTGCTGCTCCTGCTGCTGTTGATGCAGTTTGAGGAGAAGAGGTTGGAGAGCTCCTGAAACAAAGACTGGACTTGCCCCAAGAAACCCAAGGACTCTAACCAGCAGGAAGTAGCCAAAGAGACCTACGCCTCCTCTCCCACTAACCTTCTTTCTCTCCTACCTGGTATTGGAAGGGATTGGTGGAGAAGGAAGGTAGAGGTATAAGAACCCAAATAACATGGATTTTTTTAAGAGAAAACCACTCAGAGATAGCTTATCCTTCACACCACCTCACTCCGAAGGAAGGCCCACTCACTTGCCATCATCAGCATGGTAGGCCACGGAGTCGGGCAACCAGCCAGGCTGGTGATCCAGGCTGTAGTACTGAGGGACCAGCCCCACAGCAATGGTGCCCCGAACACCACTGTCCACAATAGATACCTGGAACGCAGAGAGCAGGACACGGTTCACAGGGGAAGAGGAGTGAACTTGGGCAGGACAAGGGCAGGCAGGGTGATCAAAGGTGGGCTTATGCTCAGGGGCACCTGGGGTGGGGGCAGGGCCCTTTACTGTGGTTACTCGGACAGTCTCAAGCTTTAGCTAGGCATGATGGCCCATATCTTTAATCCCAGCATCCAGACAGGTGATAGCTCCAGGCCAGCCTGGTGTACATAGAGAGACAGACAGTTCCAGGCCAACCAGGGCTACATAGTGAGATCCTGTCTCAAAAAACAAAAACAAAAACAAAAAAAGAGGAGAAGGAGCAGAGGTGGGGAGCTGGAGACAGGGCTCAGCAGTCACGAGTACATGCTGACTCGGGTTGGGTTCCCAAGACCCGCATCCGGTAAGTCACAAGGGCCACTTCTAACTTCTAGTGTCCGCGGGCTCTGTGCTTACGTGCACATGCCCACACACAGGCCCTTACAGAAACAGCAATAAACAGCTATGCACAGAATCAATTCGGGGCTTCTGTCAGGACAGCAGTTCTCAACCTGTGGGTCACAACCCCTTTGGGGGTCAAATGACCCTTTCATAGAGGTTGCCTAAGACCATCGCAAAACACAATCTTTATTTACATTACAAATCACAACAGTAGCAAAATTAAAGTTATGAAGTAGCAACAAAAATAATTTTCTGGCTGTGGGTCAGCATAGCATGTGTTAAAGGAATTGTTAGGAATGTTGAAAACTGCTGTATTAGGACCAAGGAAAATGACTCGGGTCAAAGTCCACCTAGGCAAAGGGACAGCAGAGCCAAGAGGCAAGGGGATGAGACTCCAAGGCACCTGTCATGATCAAGATCAAGAGTCCTGCTGTCCTGCACCCTTCTCTCAAAAGAGCCACCTTGGTGAAAACGTAAAGGCCAGGTCATCAACCCAGGAGAAGGGCCTTCTCGCTCGATGTGCTCACCCCTCATCGCCACCCCGCCACACCTGGCTCCCCAACTCTGCACACCTACTGCTGATCACCTCAAAATAATTGCTGTCCTTGGTCAGGGGTCGCGACGCCACATAGCAGCCAACCTCACCAGAATTCCCATGGTAACTAAAGGGATACAGAAAAGTTCTATTAGCAGCATGCCCACCTGTTGGGAGGAAGTCCGAATACTCCAAACCCCAACCTTGGGAGGGCTCATCAAGCCACACTTCAAGTATCTGCACAGAGCCAGGTATGGCAGCACACGCCTTTAGTCCCAGCCAGCACTGGGGAGGCACAGGCAGGCAGATCTCTGAATCTGAGGCCAGCCTGGTCTACAGAGTGAGTCCAGGACAGCCAGGGCTACACAGAGAGACTCTGTCTTGGAAAAGAAAAAAGAAAAAAAATTCTCTCGAACACACACACACAAGTGGAATTTAAGGTCACCTGCCCTTCCCACTGCTTCTAGCGAGCGTCCAACCCACACTAAATCAACACAGCCTAGTTTCATTTTCAAGAGGAAAATGAAGCCTTCCTTAATTGCTTCTGAGGGGTCCCACAGTGTTGTCTAACCTCAATCCCTCCTGCTGCAACTTTGGCCCTTGCCTGCAGCCCTGTCCTCAGCGGAGCTGGAGAACAGCTGATCTCTACCCTTCCTCAAAGGCCTTCAGTCAGGAAGAGTCACTCAGTCCCCATATTTCAGCTTTCTTCCCCTCAGGCAATAACGCTAGCTCCTTTCCCCTTACATGATAACTATCTGGATGGGTCAGTCAGGGCAGGTTCAAGACTTAAAGAGAAAAATACAAACCAAAGGGCTGGCAAGACACAGAGTGGGCGATTACACACTGGCACTCCCTAGACAGGGCCAGCTGCCTTACTGAAGGCCCTCCCTGCTGAGCCCAAGTAGGCAGAAATATAGGCAGAAGGGGACTCAGGCCACTGTCTTCACAGATGTTGGCAGCCTCCTATACCTGTCATGGGAACTTCCAAATCAGAACAGGGCCTCTCTGGATCCTTCCCTTGCCAGACTGGAAGACAGTGAGCCAAGATGGCTGAGACAGCACTTGCCTGTAATCTCAAGGGAAGCTGAGGAGAAGGGCTGCAGGTGTTAGGACAGCAGGGCCATCTCAACAAAGACCAGTGAGAAGGCTCAGTGCATAAAAGCACTTCCTAGTGAGCACAGTTGGTCCCACCTGATCTAAGGGGAATCTGTCTCCATCACGTTGTCCTTTAACAGCACCCCCACACACTACATAAGCAAATAACACAACAACCCGAAGAAGGACCCAGTGACAAGAGGCAGAAAGGAATGCACAAAGGCCACTGGGGTACCCTCCCCGTGTGGTGAGTGTAAACAGTCCCTCTCCCTCTGACACGCCTGTCCCTGCCTAAGACCTGGAAAAGGACTCTCAAGGACAATGGGGAATGGTTCCCCACACTCACCTCAGAGTGTCACCATCTACAAGGATATGTTTGAACCTCTCCTGATACCGGAAAGCCCGGACCTCTCGAATCTCCCGAATCCTCCTTCGCCAGTTCAGAAACCGGTAGTGCAAGTTCAGGTCATCCATCTTGTTCATGAGAACAAACCTATGAGCAGAGAGGTGAAGAGGACGCGGGGCTGAGCAGAGCACCCGGGCTGACTGCAGGCTTGATGTCCAAACGCATCTCCAAGCTCCAGCCTCGGCCACTCGGCCAGCAGAAGCTTACTGGGCCTTACATGTGCACTGTGGGCGGAGCTAGGGGCAAAATTCTCTTTCTCACAGGTCTCCATCTTCGTGAGCGTGAAGGGGCATGGCAGGGAATAGGCACAAGTGGACATTTTGACCAGTGGGGGAAAGGGACGTAATGAAGTATCTGAATTGTTGCATGTGAGCTGAAAGGGAGGCAAGCAATGTACCAGTACAAAAAGCATTCCAGGCAGAGGCAACCGCCATAGCAGGTCTGTGGGTAGGAGAAAGGTGTCACCACGGTACAGGAAGACAGCCAGCCAGGGCCACTGCTATATGGGAAAAGTGAGTAAGAACAGGGTAAAGCCCCGGGAGCGGTGGCGCTCGCCTTTAGTCCCAGCACCTGGGGAGGCAGAGGCAGGTGGATATTTATGTGTTTGAAGCCAACCGGCTTCAAAAAAGCAAATCCCAGGACAGCCAAGGCTATTGTTACACAGGGAAACCCTGTCTTGAAAAACAAAACAGAAAGAACCGGATAAGGCAAAAGGCTGTTCATACTCAGGAGTTTAAATTTTATTTCAAGGGTAATGAGAAACCTTTAAGGAATTTTACCAACAAACAAACAAAGGGGGGGGGGCATGATCTTCTGTTTTGTTGTTGTTGTTTTGAGACAGGGTTTCTCTGTGTAGCCCTGGCTGTCCTGGAACTCACTCTGTAGATCAGGCTGGCCTCAGAGATCCGCCTGCCTCTGCCTAAGTGCTGGAATTAAAGGTGTGCACCACCACCGCCCTGCCTGAAAGCCATTGCCCTTAATCGCTGGGCCTTCCCTCCTGACCAAAACCCCAGCGCTTTAAATCCGAAGAGGCAAATGGATCTCTAAGTTCTACACCTGAGATCGGTCTGCCAGCCCAGCCAAGGCTACCTAGGGAGGCCCTGTCTCCAGCAAAAGAAAAAGGAACTTATCCGGTCTTAACTGTCATTCCCAGCTGCAGGTTGTGACAGCAGCTCAGAGGATGGCAGCCTCGAAAATGGCAGCGGTGAAGGCAAAGAGGAGCGGGGCTCTCCTGGTATTTAGACAACCCCGCAAGGCCAGTAAATGAATGAATGAATGCAGTTTCCCAGAGAGCCAAAAGCGGGGAAACGATGGAGAAATCTTTTCTTCCCATTCTCCAAAACTCCTGGCTCAGGGCTGTCCGCACAGTAGGTGATCAGCAAACCTAGGCTAAGCTGAGTTTGAGCCCAGTGTGCACATCAGGGCTCTTCTGCACGCTCCAAGGGCGCAGACACCTGTGGCGCAGCGCCCAGATGCCTCTCCTGGGCCCTGGGCCAGGACTCGAACCCAGGTAAATGCCGGAGCCCCCGACCTGAAGGTATCTGGTCTCCGAGGACCCGGTGGCCTCGGCACCAGCCAGCAGCCGCCGCGCTGGGTCCCGGCGCTGCCTCAGCACCGCGGGGTCCTGGGGTGAGACCCGGGGGCCAGGCGGCCTCAACCTGTCAGCGCGGCTCCGCCCGGTCTGCAAGGCCCCGCGCTGGCTGACGGTGCGCGGCGGCAGGAGGGCCGGCGACCAGAGCCCCGGCCCCGCCCCGGAGCCCGGAGCCGTCGCCCAGGACCCCCGCCTCGAGCTCGGCAGAGCCCGAGGCCTCCGGGACCCCGCCCCCCGGTCCCCGCCTACCGGGGCCGCCGCGTCCTCCTCATCCATAGGCCTCTCAGCTCCGCGCTGTAGCTCTTCGGCCGCCGCCACCACACACATCCGGGTCCCCGCCCTTCCTCTGCTCCGCGAAGCCCGCCCCCGCCGCCGAAGGTGGCCAATCCGCAGCAGCCTCTGAAGACGGGCACCCGGAGCAGCCAATCGAGAGGCTCAAGCCCCGCGGGGCGCGGCCCGGTGAGCCGGGTACCTAACACTCGCCGGCGTCTGCGGAACCCTGGTGTCGGGAGGGTGGGGGAGGCGACGTGGCGGCGCGGACGCCACCGTGGGCGCCGGGAGCTCAGGGAGGTGGTCAAAGGGCAGCTCCCTTGGGGCGGGGCGGGGCGGGGCGGGTTGCTGTGCTCGCGCAAGAGTCCCGTTTCTAGGGCCAGAAGTGATGCTAAAAGCCTTACTGGAATGTCCTATTGAACCACTTAGCAGCTTGGGGGTGGTAAAATTATCTGCGTTTTACGCGTGAGGCGTCAGATCTCCACAGCAGCAGCACTAGCTGATACCCTGTGCTTCCTTCTCTCCAGAGCACGACTTTACACCAGGTTCGGTCATTCTAGGTCGGACATTCCAGAACAGGAGAGAATTGCAGATGCAGAAAGCACAGTGAGGTGAAACCCAAGGCTGTTTGGGGACAGAGGGCATGATAGGAAAGTTAAGTCAGCATGTACTGGAAAGGACGCTGTCTCTTATCATACACCTCCTGCAAAGGATTTGGTTGCCCCAGGAAGACTGAATAGTCTCTCCAGAGAGACCCACTCTCCGTCTTGAGTGCCCTGTGTCAGAAACTTAAACGAACGTACTTGTGTCTCTCCACATCTGAGTCTACTGAATATCAATAAGTCAACAAGCTATGTCGGTTTCCTTGGCGACAATTTGCCCCGTAGCCCTGATCTGCGTTAATAACGGGCAGGCACAGGTTCTCCTCCGTTGATATTACACATTACGCATCACGTGACGTGTGTACCTCTGTAGGCTACACCGTGGCTACGAAAGGGTTAAAGGAGCCCCAGCTTAATTCAGGAGTTGAGAGGCCTTACCAGAAGCTGGGAGCTTGAAGTATTGCAAAGTCTCCACTTGGAGAGCTGCTGGAGATCGCAGCCAGGGTGCTGCCATCCTCAGAGCCAAGCTGCAGGTCACAGGCTGAGCCAGGCTTGGGGCAAAATGCAAGAGAGGATGTGGATGAGGGAGTGGACACACTGTAGTCGGTGTGGGCTTCATCAGTGGACCAGAGCTGAGCTGAAGCCTCATCATGGGGTCCAGCTGAGGGTGCTGTACCCTTTCTTGGTCCGATTGCGTCTGATAAGTTCTTGAACCTGATGCATCTTAAGTGATTTTAACCCAACCACTGAGCAAGTCTCCATCCGTTATAGGTGGATACGTGTATGGGGTGGTACCTTTCACATCTTTAATTAGTCTTACTTCAGTGCTTTGCCTGTATCTATATTGGTGCACCATATGTGTGAGTTACAGACAGTTGTGAGCTGCCATGTGGGCTCTGGGAGCTGAACCCTAATCCCCTGGAAGAGCCATCAGGGCTCCTAACCACTGAGCCATCTCTCCGGCGCTCCTTTCTCACTTTTGGGGATAAGTCGTCAGCCTCGGTCAGGCAGGAGGTGGCGTGTGCATGCAGAGTCACACTCACCATGGGACCAAATACCACTCGTAGGAGCCCTGCTTTCGGGCAGACAGCCTAGTCACAATACTCCCTGGTGAGGCACATGCTGTATTTTAATGTCAGGTGTGGTGAAACACACCTGTTTGGTCGGGATAGTTACTATTTGCTTGTTATTGGGTGTGAAAGCACACCTGGTGTGACGTAGCCTAGAGATGACAGGGCAACTTGCAAAAGTCAGTTCTCTGCGTCCTCCAGGTGGGCCCCAGGGACTGAGGTTTGACCTCAGGTTTGGTCACCCTGACTCAGCTCGCCAGACCCAGCGCCCCATTTATGAAGGTCAGCTGTGCCTCATCTCCTTTTGACCTCACACTAGGCCCTTATTATTCTAACTAGAACTCTAAAGAGCCGGGCAGGCAGAGGGCCAGGGATGTAGCTCAGTTGGTAGAGCACTTACCAGGCAAAGGTGAGGACCCAGGTTCTGTCTCCATACTTAAAGGAAATGCTTACAGTTAGAGATCTGCTTACTGGCAGAGCATTCTTGCCTTGCAAGCTCAAACTGAGACAGGTCCCGCCTGAGTAGCCCTGGCTGTCCTGGAAGTCCCTGTGTAGGTCAGGATGAGCAAGGGTGCACACCGTCTCGTCCTCCGCTGCCCCACGGAGATCCCACTAAGATCAGCTTGTCTTCCGGCTCAGCTGTCCGCAGTGAACCTGCCTGGCCGTCCAGCTGTCTGTGGTGATTGCGCTAAGTTTCCAGGTGCTGGTCTTCAAAAGAGCACAGGCCCACCTGGTCCCAGCTTTTCTGTGGGTGTCTCTTGTTTCTTCCTTCCCCATTACCCCAGTCAGCTCAGCCCCAGGGCCCTGTGGTGCAGGCTGAGGTAGGTGGGGGTGGGGAGCCAGCATGACTTAAAGGCTTTGGAGACCCAGTCCTGAATGAAGTAAAGAAGCTTTCCTCAAAGGACATAAAAATCAAGGATGGGTTACTGACTCCATCCCTGCTTCATAAACACTTTTGTTTTGTTATAATTTATTTTTATTTTATGTACTGTTGGTGTTTTGCCTGCATGTGTGTCTATGTAAGGGTGTCGGCTCTTCTGGAACTACAGTTATAGATAGTTGTGAGCTGCCATGTGGGTGCTGAGAATTGAACCTGGGTCTTCTGGAAGAGCAGCCAGTGCCCCTCACCACTGAGCCACGTGTATGTGTTTGTTTTGTTTTCTGCTTTTTCAACACAATGTTTCTCTGTGTAGCTTTGGCTGTCCTTGAACACACAGCAATCCCCCTGCCTCTGCCTCCCTGAGTGCTGTGATCACAGGTGTGGGCATTACAGGAGGCAGCACTGAACGGTCGCAGGGGATTACCACAAAAAAGAAAACAGGAGAGGACATAAGGAAGGAGGGGTTCTTGAGAGGAGTGAAGGGTGGAGTTGGGGTGACTGTGATCCATGTATGTATGTACAGAATTGTCAAAAACAGCTAAAGGGCTGGAGAGATGGCAAGGCGGCTAAGAGACTGTCTTCCAGCCAGGTCCTGAGTTCAGTTCCCAGCACCCATACGATGGCTCACAACCATCATAATGGGTCCTGATGCTCTCTTCTGTCTTGGAGTCATACAAGCAAACAGAGCACTCACATACGTACATAAATAAATCTTAGCCGGAAGGTGGTGGCACACACCTGTAATCCTAGCACTTGGGAGGCAGAGATAGCTATAAGCTCGTGGCCAGCCTGGTCTACAGAGTGAGTTCCAGGACAGCCAGGGCTACACAGAGAACACTGTCTTGAAAAATCCAAAACAATAACAACAACAAAAAGAAAAGGAAAAGAAAGGCCTGGGACTGGAGTTACAGATGGCTGTGAGCCACCGTGAGGTCTGGTAGCCCATCATGGCAGGAAGGGCTTGGCGCCAGCAGCGGCTCTAGTCAGAGTGTGAGGCAGTATTTCTTGCACGCGTTCCTCGTCTTGGAGGTGAGGACTGTGTCTGCCCAGTAAACCACTCCTGACCCTGAAGGTGATAAAACCTCCCCAAACCTCCTATCCCCTGGGATCAAGTGTTCAAATGCTTACTCCTGTCGGAGACCCTTCACATTTAAGCCAGAACGACATGTACAACATGCAAAGCACATCTTTAAAAACTGACCCAGGGCTGGAGAGATGCTCAGAGGTTTAAGAGCACTGGCTACTCTTCCTAAGGACCCAGACTGAATTCCCAGCCCCAACATAGCAGTTTGCAAACAACTGTAACTCCAGTCCCAGAGGATCTGATGCCCTCTCCTGGCTTCCAGGGGAACCAGGCATGTGCCTGGTCACAAACACACAGGCACTCACACATACCCACAAAATAAGCAAATAAATGTAATTTAAAAAAATGTAACCCCCGCCAGGCGGCGGTGGTGGCACACTACTGGGGCTGGCGTTTCTGCCCTGGGTGAACATGCCAATGGCTTACGTAAGTGCTGGTTTCTGCAGCCAGAGAGTTGAGAACAGGCCGGCCTTTGGCATTATCATTTTTACGAAGTATCTCCTGTCTCCGCATTTTGTCAGCTTTGCTCTCCATAACCTTCTGACTGGTGGAATAAAGAGTTGAACACCCTATAGCAATGGCAGGAGAAAATAGGCAGGAACTCTGGGAATCAGCGGTGGGAAGAGTTGCCAGCCACTCAGAGGAAGAAACAGGGTGATGGGACTGAGAAGATGACAGGTAGCAGGCCACATGGCAGGACATAGGCCAGGCCAGTGTGGTCGGGTTAGCATAGCTGAGAATCAAAAGAAAGAAAAAAAAAAAAAAAAAAAAAGACTAGCTAAGAATCAAAATTAAATAAATTAATTTAAAAAATAGTTGGTAATCTGGTCATCTGTGGTACCTAAATTAATAATAAATATTAAAGGTCTCTATGTGATTACTTGGGGAGTTGGCAATCCAAAATAAAGTCCTGGTTTAGCACATACCTTTAATCCCAGCACTCAGGAGACAGAGGCAGGTGGATCTTTGCGAGTCCAAGGCCAGCCTGGTCTACAGAGCAAGTTCCAGGACAGCCAAGGCTACGAAGAGAAACCTGTCTTGAAAAGGAAAAAACAATTGACTCCTATCCAGACAAGGAACAACTTTACTGACCAGAAGACATGGGCCATGCATTCCGTTTACATTTCTGTCTGAGTCAGAACAGTTCTCCAGAGTCCCCTTCCCCCGCCTCAGCAGTGTGTCTGTAATAACGTACAATACAGTTAGATTAACTTGTCACAGTTCACATTCTATCCCAGAATACTTAGCATCTCAGGCTTTTTTCCCTCCGGTCCTGCAGTTCAAGCCCTGGGCCTCACACAGGCAGCTGATTCCCCTGAGCCGGTCCAACATAGCTGAGTGTTAAGCTGTGTGTTGTGTGTCTGTGGCGATGGCAGCTGTCCTGCAAAGCTAAAAGAAATTAGTCCGAATATCTATGCCCTAAAGAAGCAGCAACTGTGTGAAGAGATGTCTTCAGCCAAACAGCAATGTGCACCTGTAATAAACCCACTTGGAACTCATCAATAAGTACAGCGTCTTAATCAGCTAAAAAACTTGCTTTAGCTGTGCTTGGGTGAATGAATGTCAACACTAAACTCTTTGGAGCACAAACCCTCTCTGTTGTGTCCACATCTCCCAGTTACAGCCCACAACTGGATGCTCTGTAGTGAAGGTAATCGTTACATCCAAATCACTGCACCTGCTGTATTAATTACACAAAACCAGAGTTCCAGTTCCCCACACACTGCTTTTTGTTCACTAATCATTCCTAACTCCAAACTGCTTGACTCTTGCTCTAGTCCCTTAAATGCTCCCTTCTCAGCTCCCCCTCTCTGGAGGTGTTTTGTTTTCTTTTGTTTTGTTCCCTTTTCTTGTTTGTTTTTGTTTTTTCCAGACAGGGTTTCTCTGTGTAGACCAGGCTGGCTTTGAACTCAGAGAGATCCGCCTGCCTCTGTCTCCCCGAGGGCGGGGATTAGGTGTGTGCCACCACGCCAGGCGAGTCTCTGATGGTCTTGGGGTGCTGAAAATCAAGAACATGTTAAGCGTACGCATGTCTCTGCATGTGCATGTCCTTCCCTGTCCTTCCCACCTGTGCTGGTACCATAAAGACCAGTCCCCCTCGGACCCCTGCCTACTTCCCGTTCAGCCCTGCCCAGCTTTTCTCCTGCCTTCGTTAAAAAGCCCTATTTTTAAAGATTCCCTTTGATTTCTTCCAAGACAGGAGGCAGCTGTCCCTCTTCTGTTGAGCCCTGACCACTGCACTGGCCTCACAGCCTTCACACTTCAAGGGCAGGAAGAAGAAATGGACCAGTGGTGGTTTGGGAGGGCTGAGAGCACCCCTGAGGTGGGCTGGCTGGTTCTGGGGTATAGACAGAGCCATCCCTGAGCTGCTAGAAAGAAAACGTTCACCTCTTGGCCTTTCTCCAGGCTGCCTTTCCTCCCCTCAACAAAGCTGGTTTAGGGGCGACTGTAAAGTCCTTACAAGAGTTTGAAGATGGGGAATTAGAGATTAGGAAAGGGGGTGTCCTCAATCACTTACCTTATGTTACCAGGAAAGGTAACATAAGGCCAGATATGGCCGTGCAAGTTTTAACCCCAGCACTGGGAGACCGAGGCAGATGGATCTCTGTGAGTTCCAGGGCAGTCTGGTGTACATATTGAGTTCTAGGCCAGAACTAGATCATACGTAGTGAGACCCAAGAGAGGAGGGACCCAGCCCGCTCTATAGAGGGAATGTCAGAACAACCATGGCTGCATAGTAAGGCCCTGTATAAAGACAAACAAGTAAATAAATAAAGGTAAAATAAAGAGCAACCAAAATAATAAAAGGAATAAAATTTAGCCAGGCAGTGGTGGCACAGGTCTGTGATCCCAGCACTTGGGAGGCAGAAACAGGCTGATCTCTGTGCGTTCAAGGTCAGCCTGGTCTACAGATCAAGTTTCAGGACAGCCAGGGATATACAGAGGAAACCTGTCTTAAAAAGAAGAAAAAGAAGAGGAGGAGGAAGAATAAAATTTAAAAACTGATACTTTCAGGATATAAAATGGTCACACGATGGGTACGAGGTGGCACTATCCAGGAAAGGGTTTGGCCCTCCTGAGCTAAAGCTGGGAGACTTGGGAAGTACATTACCTCTGGAAAAGCAACACGTCTCACCTTCACTTCCCCTTTCTCAGCTCAGGAACGGAGATGAGAAAATGTCAAAGGGTTCTGGGGAAGGTGACCCCAGGAGCTGGCTGAATTGGCGTGATTACAGGACTCCAAGCTCAGAGTTAAGAATGCCAGATGAGAGCCGAGCTCATGGTGGGAGGGAGCCCCCAACACACGCGTGCTGTCTCTCTCTCTCTCTCTCTCTCTCTCTCCCTCTCTCTCTCTCTCCCTCTCTCTGTCTCTCCCTCTCCCTCTCTCTCTCTCTCTCTCTCTCTCTCTCTCTCTCTCTCTCTCGTGCGCGCACATGCACACACACACAGGCTTTTGAAGAAGAGACCATCACTCAACCAGGAGAGCACTTCAGCAGAACAGGTTTGAAGGATGTGGAAGGCCAGATGGCAGAAAACAGGCTGGACATCAGCTGGGATTATCCCAGCTGCACACCTAGTTCTCCATTGCACTTCCTGTCTGAGCCTTCAGCCCTCTCCCTGTCCCCCTTGCTATCAAAAGGAACTCACTGACCTCAGAAGCCAGGGCTTAAGGGTGCCTGGGATGCGTGAGAGTGTGGCCTGTGTCAGAAGTCCCGAGTAAGTTTCCAGACAAGCCTACCTCACAGCCGGTGGCTAATCTACCGAAGCCTCGGCACAAGCTTCTCCGTGAGGGTTCTCACACAGACCCTAGGTCTCTTCTCTGGGCATGAAGGCAGATGGCACCCCAAAAGGAAGAAAATCAGAATCCATGGACCTCTGTCTGCAGGGAGACTTGTGCCCAAGCAGGAGTGGGCGTGACCCTGGGCCTTCATCAGGGAAGGAGGCTGGGAAAGTCATGGTCCTGCACACTTTTCGCACTCCTGCTTGGCCAGCACAGAGGGATCAGGGGAGCGTGGAGCCAGCCAGGAAAGGAAGCACTGAGGGGGAGGAGGGGTGTGTGGGTGTCAGTGTGGGGATTTCTCTCAGAGGCAGAGCACAACTTCTTCAAAGGATCCACTGACACCCAGCAAGGAGGGTTAGGTCTAGTGTCATCTTCCTCCTCCCCATCTTCCCGTCACTCAGAAGCAACAAGCTTGAGCTTGAGAAAGGCCTCAGCTAGAATCATGAGCAGTGAAAAAGAGCAAAGACATAGCAAGGATGAGGGTTTGGACAGGAACCATAACTCCCACTCTGGGGTCAGAACATGGAGAGGAGGCCCCACGCCCAGTGGAAGATAACTGTTCCTTTTTCCTGCTCTTGCAGTCTGCATTCGTATCTCACGGCAACGGGGAAAACATCGCTTTCCAAACGCTGCTAAGTCCTAAAATCTCATAGTAGCCACGGTGGGGGTGATTCTTTTTATTTTGTATTTGCTTAACAGCTCAGGAAGCCCTTGCTGACATTTTTGCTTGGGGGCCCAGAGCTGACACTTAGTCACTGTCCAGAGCCCTTGTTTTAGGAAAGAATGACATTGCTGTTTCGCAACTGGCGGGGGCAGTCCAGTGTAGCAACCCCACTTCCTCCTGGGGAGTAGGAGGTCCTGGGGACCGGCCACCCCTGCGCAGCCTTCGGATGGTCAGAACAGGAGTGGCTAAAGCTGAGCAGCTGGCCAGCCCCTTCCCAAACCCCATGGGCACAGATCAGTCTGAGGAGTCCAGAAGAGCCAAGGATGGCTAGAGAAAGGAGACAGGCCCTGGGAAAGGAGAGTAACAGAGGGACAAGCTAGCCTGAGCGGCAGACATGGGGGTGAGGCCTAGTCTACGGCCAGACCACTGTCCCTGGAAGCGTTTGGAAAATGGTCCCCACTTTTACCTGCACCCCCTGGAGGCCAGCTGCTGGTCTCCCTTCCCTGGCCTCTTCTCCTCCGCACTCAGCTGCTCTCAGTTGATCACAGGCAATGGGAGGGTTCCTACAGTTCACTAAAGGTGCGGGCCCCACCACCATGTCCTCATTTCACACGGCTCCCCCAACCTTTTCCACCATCTTCACAAGGGCCAGGCCCTCTGGGTTTGTTGTTTTCACACACCCAGACCAGGAGATTCTATTTTGCCTGTTACCTTCTCTCTTTCCTCTCTCTGGGTCTGCTTCTTGCCCTCCGTAGGAGTTTCTCCTAGCATGTATCCGCATCCCTTTCACGAAGCACCGATCACACACACACACACACACACACACACTATCTCTTCTTCTTGGTTCACCCTTAGCTCCCAAGCTCTCACCCGAAGGAGTACCCACAGGCCCTTCATCTTCCTGAACACACATGAGTGTTAACCAGATTTCAGGGTTTGCCTTCACTGTCCTCCCCTTCACTCCTCCCTGCCCCACAATCCCTTTAGCCAGATATAAAGCTCCCAAATTCCGGGCGAGATTCCCAGGAACAAAGCAAGGAGGAAAAAAAAAAAAAAAAGCCATCAGAACAGTTTGGGGAGTAAACAGCAGCTGAGCAGAAGGAGGGAGGGAAAGCCGGGTGGACCCAGGTGGGTGGCCCTCCAGTGCGCCCAGCTCAGGGAATGCCCCTGCCTCTGTCCCTCCCCCTTCACCTGGCTTTTAAGGGGAGCAGCCTGCTGCAGCTGCGCCAGCCTCTTTGGAAGGAGCGCACGGAGCAGCGGAACCGCTGACCATGGCCAGGGCCGGGATGCCCATGCTGCTGCTGCTGCTCCTCGCGGCGGGCACGGGGTCCGCCTCAGCGGGGCTGCAGCCTGGCTGTCGCGGGGGCTGCGCGGAGGAGGGAGACGCGGGGTCGCCTGCGGACGACGGCTGTGCAGAAGGCGGAGGCTGCCTCAGGAGAGAGGGGCAGCCGTGCGGGGTCTACGTCCCCGAGTGCGCCCCAGGACTGCAGTGCCGACCGCGGGAGAACGAAGAGGCGCCGCTGAGGGCGCTGCTGGCCGGCCAGGGCCGCTGTCAACGGGCCAGGGGGCCGGCCGGTGAGTCCCGGCTCCCACCACCTGAGACAGGCCAGCCTGGCCCGGCAGGAGCCTGGGCAGAGGCCGTGGGCAGCCTCCCCAGCCTCTGCGACCCGCCCATTGCTTCCTCCTGGGCCTTGAGGGCAAGGACAGGGAACAGTGTGGGACTTCGTGTGGCCAGGGTCAGCTGAGAATCAGGAGAGAGGGGTCTGGCTCTCCATGGCCCCATTTTCTCCTGGGGAGAGCGGCCATGTGGGAGGAGAGCGGAGAGTTTCAGTTTTAGCTATGCCCTGTTCCCGGCAGGCCCGGATCCATCACTCCAGTGGCTCGCACTGGAGACAGGACCTAGATTCCGAGCGGAGGAGGAGGAAAGGGAGCCCCAGGGCCCAGCTCCACACTTAGAAGTGTCTGCTGCTCCTCCATGAAGTCGGTGGCAGGACAAAAGAAAGTGGGAGAAGAAGGGGTCTGCTAGGTCAGGCTCAGGGCTTAAGGCTGGGCGGAACTGGATGCCCTCCACGCCCTGCCCTAGGGACCAACACAGGAGACTGAGTCATGGGGGGGTGGTGCAGAGTGAGTCAGCACACAAAGGCCGGGGGTGGGAGCAAGCGAAGAAAGTGAGGCCCTGGCGTTTTCGTGGAAAGCGCTGAGAAAATGTGCTTGGCTCACTTGGCGTGGTGTTGATGCCTGTGGTTTCAGCGCTTAGGAGGTGTCGGCGAGTTCAGTATGGTCCTTGGCTACATCCTGTCTAAGCTGCCTGAGATCCTGTGTTGGTTGCACACACACATCACACACACCCACACACCCATGCAGCCTGTAGGGTCAGAGCTCAGGCTTCTAGGGCCCCTCTTAGAAGGTGTGTTTTGATTGGAGAAGGCAGGTTCTCCAATCAAAAGTTGGGGGTGTGGGACAGAGTGATGCCCAGGCAGTAAGTGTTAAGAAGACGGGGGGGGGGGGGGGGGGGGGGGGTAGCTTATCTGCTGGCACGTGGCTGTCATCCCAGCCTTTTCTTAGCCCTGGCTTACTTCCTGGTCTCCAGAAGCGGCCCAGCCTGCGGAGACCTCCTTCCCTGCCTCTCTGCGGCCTTCAGTGCGTCCCGTCCCCGGGTGAAGGGCTGAAGGCAGATGTTCTCAGCTCACGAGAGGATCGAGCTGAGACAGAAAGGAAGTGGTCCCGTGCGCCCTTCAAATAACACCATACCAGGCCCAGGAGGGCAGACTGAGTCAGCGGAGGGGTCACGACAGGGACACACATTCCACTGGGTCCCTGTTGACACCCCCCTCACACACACACACATACACACACACACACACACACACACACACACACACACACACACACACGCTGCGCCAATCTCCCTGGCTTGGCGCTCCCCCTTCTGGCCTCTAGTGGAATAGGCAGGCCTTTTCCTAAAGAGGAAATAACCAAAGGTGCTCTGTGTTTGTTCTGAGTTTTTGCTCTAAGACTTGAAACTGCTCTGGGGAACATTATCAGGAATAATAACATAACTGTATTATGTAGAAAAAAAATTTTTTTTGAGACTGGGCGTTTCTCTGTGTAGCCCCAGCTGTCTTGGAAGTAGTCGTGTAGACCAGACTGGCCTGGAACTCCCAGATCCGCCTTCCTCTGCCTCCTGAGTGCTGGGACTAAAGGCGTGCTAGGATTTTATTTTTATTTCACATGTGCAGGTGTGTGGCCTGCATGTACTGTCTGTGTTACCATGTGGGGGCCGGAAGCGGGGTTGGACGCCTGGTATCAGGCAGCTGTTGTGAGGTTCTCTGGAAGAGTAGCCAGTGCTCTTGACTCCTGAGCCACCTCCCCAGCCCTTGAGCTTGTGGCCTGAGCCTTGCCTGAGCCGCCCATTGCTGGGATTACAGGCACACACAACCACACCCAACAGCATAATTACTTGCGGCAGGATAGGCGAGGAGACTAGGTGCTTTTAGTCCGTAAGGCCCTCGTTGCCCTCACTTTAGCCAGCAGAAGGGGACCGAGGCCCCTTGGTGCTGGTCTTCAGCCCTGAGTGATGTCTGTTTTCTTCTCTCACTCTTCCTGTGGCCACAGAGGAGAGTAAACCCCATGCAGGAGCCTCCCGTCCACGTGAGACAAGCCACAAAGACCGGCAGAAGAATCCAGGGACCTCCAGCACCCCTATAAGGCCCAATCCAGGGGGTGCTCAAGACTCTGAGATGGTGTGTGCGGGGCTGGCGGGGAGGCCGAGGGCCAGAGATGGGAATCCCTGGAGCGCCCTGGAGCGCCCTGGAGCAGAGGGCTCCTCCTGAGCGCCGCCCCACCCCTGTCCCTCTCCAGGGCCCCTGCCGCAGACACTTGGATTCCGTGCTGCAGCAACTGCAGACTGAGGTCTTCCGAGGCGGGGCCCAGGGGCTCTATGTGCCAAACTGTGACCTCAGAGGCTTCTACAGAAAGCAGCAGGTGAGAGGAGGCGGCCTCTCCTAGGGGCAAGCTCCCGGCCAGGGAGAGAGAAGGGCTCCTTATGAAGCTGCGAATAGGATGCTCTGGAGCATGCTAGGAGGGCAGGAGTGAGTCCCTGTCTCAGAAAACAAACAGCAGGGGGTGGACGAAGAGCAGGTGGATCTCTGAGTTCAAGGCCAGCCTGGTCTACAGAGAGAGAGTTCCAGGACAGCCAGGGCTACACAGAGAAACCCTGTCCTGGAAAACCAAACCAACCAACCAAACAACAATGGAAAAAGGACACAGACAGACAGAGAGACGCACACACCTATTTCCCCTGCCTTTCGGGATCTTCCAACTTTGAGACCCACATAGACATGAATAGAGTCAGGGAGATCACAAATTCGAGGTGTGTCTGGCCTACTGAGTGAGTTCAAGTCCAGCCTTGGGACTTGAAAAAAAAAGTAAGCCAAAAAGAAGTTTATAGTTCCCTGGTAACTCGCTGCCTAGCTCTGCCCAAGGATCAATCTGTAGGATGATTTGAAAGGAAAAATAAGCAAACAGCCAGGCGCTGTAGTCGGGGACTTAAAGCCACCTGTAGGAAAGGCCTTAGGGTCAGGGTTAGGGTGGGGATCATGTGAAGGGGGTGGTGCAGGAACGCTGGCTGTCGGAGCCCTGGCTGTGCTTCCTAACTCAGCAGGTCTGGCTGAGCTGAGAACATGTTTCTGAGCCGTAAGCTCAGGTTCTGTCGACGGGAAACCACGTTTTGAAAGCTGCTGTTGTGGCCCAGCAGAGCGGGCCTGGTTAGTAGGCGAAGGGCCTCACAGCCTGGGAACTCACCCTGATCTGTGCCTCTCTCCCCAGTGTCGTTCCTCCCAGGGGAGTCGCCGTGGTCCCTGCTGGTGTGTGGATCCCATGGGCCAGCCCTTGTCAGTGTCTCCAGGTAGCCCCAGAAGCTCTCACTGCTCTGCCGGGAGCCGTGGCTGACAGGAGGGAACCTCCAGGACCCTGGCAGGAGTGGGCTGTCCTGTGAGCTATGTGTGGAGTGACTAGTAATTCAGGGGCTCTGGGCCCCCAATCTCACCTTCAGGCCCTGTCCCATTGTCGCTGACCCCCCCCCCCCAGACCTTTACACATCAAGTTAGGAAGGCTGCTGCTTGGGGGTCCTAATAAAGCTGTGTCGGGTCTCTGGCGGATGTCTTTGTGTCCATCCCTTACAGCTCACCAGCCTCTTTCCACCATCTCTCATGGCATTAGCCCTTCCCAGTGGGCTGCTTGCCAGCCTCTCCCACTGCAGAATGCAGCACATGGCCACTGGGACAGGCCTCAGGCCCTCTAGCCCCACCCAGACACCCACCTGGAGCCCCCTTGGGGCTCTGACTAAGATCATGGCCTCTCTGTATTGTGGCCTCCATCTGAGGTGGTGGCTGCTGCAGCCTCAGCTCTATTGCTGATCTTTGGACTGATGGAGGAAAGGATTAATGGTTAACCCCGGCCAGGAATCTGCCGAAGTAGAAGTCCCAAGGCGCTCCCCTGCCCTACTCCCTGCCCGAAGGGAAGGAAGGTGTCAGCTCTGCAGGCTGTACCCGACCTTATTTGCGCTGGCAACCCCGGGGAGGGCTTCTTCACCCAGTACATCCTCAGAAGAAGCTTAACGAGCTCGGGCCGATGTCCTGAGCTGACACAGGTCAGGACCTGCAAGGGGAGGCACGATTCAGTACTGAGTGAGCGTGTGTCTGGCCTTTCTGCTTACGTGGTGACCCACGTGCAGGGAGGAGCTGACACGCGGGGCCCTGCTGCCTACAGCTCCTTGACGGACCTCAACATCACACTCGCCATAGATTAGCCCCCATCGAAATAGTGTTGCACTCCTGTAACTCCAGGCGGCATCGTGTGCCCTCAGAAAGCGGAATGCCACGCACCTGAAGATGTCCCTCCCTGACCTTCAGTCTTTAGGGACAGCCAGGAGGAGCCAGGCTATGTGCTAAGCCTCAGGGAGGCAAATCCCCCTCCCAGCCTTACACAGATCACTCGTGAGAACGAGAGAGCAAGCATGAAGCTGGCCGCGGAGGTTGGGGTAGACAGCAGAGCCGGGACCTGAAAAGTGCTGATAACCTATCTAACCCCGGCCGCTCCGGAAAGGACTTTAGTCTCTGCAGCTATCAGATCTCTGCGGGACCAGCTCCTAGGTAGGCTGAGAAAGGAAGGAAGGCAGGAAGAAGACAGTGCAGGGCTGCCTGCTGTCCACTCCACGCTGGCAACATGGAGCCAAAGGGGACCCAGCTTCGGAGGAGAGAAGGGGCGGAGGAGCAGAAGGGAGCCTGTGGAGACGGTGAGCTGCCCCACACCCACCAGCAGAGGCTCAGGCCGCCTGAGGGTGTGTATGGCTGAGAAGAGCTCGCGCTCTAGCTATGCTCTTTCTTGCTGTTTTGGGAACCCAGAGAAGGAAGTTTCTGCCCTCTTCCCCGACACCGTCAGCGTGGCGCTGCCTTCGTACCCTTCTGCTTTCTGGGTCCCCTGTTCCCAGCAATCACAGCAGGCTCACTGCACGTATCACTTCCCTGCTTGGTGGCTCTACTCTAGAGAGTGACTGGGCACAGAGAGGCTGCTGAGCACCCAGAAGGCCTGACTCCTCCCTCCTGGCTGTCCCTTTCGATTCTCCTAGGAAACACGAAGAATCACAGAACCGCAGACTTGGTGCAATGGACCCGGCACATGGAGGTGAGGGGTGACAAAGGTCGTAATGGACAGGTCCGGGCTGGGGACACCCAGCTGGTACAGTGCCAACCTACCGTCCTTGAAGACTGGCTTGATTCCCAGCACCACACAGACCCGGTGTCTAAGAAATAAAAAGCAGACCAGGTAATAGTGGCGCTTGCCTTAACCCCAGCACTCTGGAGGCAGAGGCAGGTGAATCTCTGTGTTCCAGGCCAGCCTGCTCTATAGAGCAAGTGCCAGGACAGCCGGGGCTACTCAGAGAAACCCTGTCTCAAAAGAAAAGAAAAGAGAGAAAAAAAAAAAAGAAAAAGAAATAAAGATAGGCAGGAGGCTGGAGAGACGGCTCAGGGGTTAAGAGCACTGCCTGTTCTTCCAAAGATCCTGAGTTCAATTCCCAACTCCCAGCAACCACAGGGTGGCTCAGAGCCATCTATAATGAGATATGATGCCTTCTTCTGGTGTATAGGCAGAAGATATATAAATAATAAATAAATCTTAAAAAAAAAATAGGCAGATCCTGGGGTGACATGAGCAAGGACTGTTAGATGATAAAAAGATCTTTCTTTTCTTTTCTTTCTTTTTTTTTTCCCCCAGGTGTGTTGGTGCACACCTTTAATCCCAGCACTCAGAAGGCAGAGGCAGGTGACTCCCTGAGCTTAAGGCCAGCCTGGTCTAGAGAGAGCGAGCAGACCAGTAGCCAGGATCACACTTTTAGAAGTCAGTTTTCTCCTACCACTGTGGATTCAGGATCAAAATCAAGTCACACAGCTTCACCTACTGGGTAATCTCTCCAGCCCCCCCACCCCCTTGAGACAGTTTCTCTGTGTAGCCTTGGCTGACCTGGACTCGCCCTGTAGACCAGGCTGGCCTCCAACTCACAGAGCTCCACCTGCCTCCGGAGTGCTGGGATCACAGGTGTGTGCCATGTGCCTGGCTACCAGCCCCCAATTTTTGTATACATTTTTTTAAAACATCACTTAAAATTTCTGGTAACATTGTTTGAATAACACCAACATAGATTTCTTTCCCCACCCACAAATTTAAAGTAAATAATCTGTTAGGTTTGTTTACATCTTACGAATTAAAAATAAATGGGCTACCTGGCCAGCAGTGGCGCATGCCTTTAGTCCCAGCAGTCAGGAGGCAGAGGCAGGTGGATCTCTGAGTTTGAGGCCAGCCTGGTCTACAGAGTTAGTAGGATATCCAGGGCTACACAGAGAAACCAAACCAAAACCCCACAGGTCTTTGAGCAAAGGACCAAGAGCCAGCTGGTAAGGGTTTGTTAGTGAGGCTGCAGGTCAGAGGTCAGAGAGTGGGGACTAGAGATGGACTGTCTCAGTTCTGACTGGGGGAGTGCAGCCCCACTCTTCACCTTTTTCTTTGAGATGAGTCTCTTACTGGGGCTGGGCTCGAACTCACGGCCCTCTTGCTTGGCCTCCGGAGTGGCTGGGATGGCATACACAGCAGCTTCTGGTGCTGTTCTTTATTCTCACCTCCGCCCTGGGAAGGTGGGGCAGCTCTGGGCTGTGCTTACGTCCTCCTGTTCCCAGTGTTTGACTGTAACCGGTGGTGAGAGACACGAGCGGAGGGACAGGGCTCCAGCGTGGCTTTGTCCCGCAGGCTGTGAAGAGCCGGTTTCTGGAGCAAGCGCAGAGACAGTTGGCAGAGCTGTTGGATCAGGCCCTGTGGGAGGCTGAGCAAACCTACCCGCAACAGGACAGACCTCTTCCCGCCGCTGCCCCAGGGCCCTCCGGCAAGTGAGTCAGGGTCCCTCCAGAGTCCCTCCAGCCTCGCCCGCCCCTTTGCCAGCCCCGTCTCTACACACAGGCCCGCACCTTCCCGGCCGCCTTCCCTGCTTCCCACCGCCAGCCTCTCTTCTTCCTTTGGAGCCTGGTTCTGAGCACTCTCTCCATCCTAGGACCCAGGAGTTCCCCCCTGGCAAATGGAAAGGGAAAGTTTTCGTCACCCGAAAGTCCCTGCTGGAGTAAGCTGGGCTCTGGGCTCTGCCGGGATGGTCTGGAGAGGCTTGGTGGTGTTGAGGGCAGCAGGTCAGCGGAGGCTGGCTAGCGTTCCCAGGCCCCTCCCTAGCACAGAGCCCCCGCTGGCTGCTGGCTGCTCAGAGCCTCCCCGCCTGACCCTTCCAGTGAGCTGATGGAGGTGCAGCACTTCCGAACCATCTACCACATGTTCGTCGCGGGCCTGTGCGTCCTCATCATCAGCACCCTGGCCATCGACTTCATTGATGAAGGCAGGTAGGGCCCTCCTGCTGCGGGCCGCCACTGCCCAGCAGGCCTGGGGGCGCCTTGTCTGTTTTTGAGTTTGCCATAGAATGTTTGCTGCGCACTCCCATTCATGTGTGCGCAAGCGTGCTGTGGAAGTGCTCATAAGTGCGGCATCTGATTTCACAGCCAACTCTTGTCATCTCTCTAGGTCAAGCTGTTGGTTTTAGCGACCACAGAAATCGGAAGCAGCAGATTCTGATCACGCAGCCCTTTATTAACAGCTACTAAAGTTGTTTCCGGCTTTTGTCTGTTTGTCTGAGACAAAGGCTTGAAGCCCGGGCTGGACTTGAAGTTGATAGGTAGCCGTGACTTTGAATGTCTCATCCTCCCGTCTCCACCTCTTGAGTGCGGGGATTTGGGGCGCACAGTGCCCGGTTTGCAGCATGCTGGGGATGAACGTGGAGCGTCACACCCCCCGGCCATCTCTCTACCAGCTAATACGTACCCTCAGCCCCATCTGCAGCACGCTGGGGTCTCCATCCTCATTAGTCACACACTCTTTAGATTGACTTTTATGTGTGTGGGCGCTGTGCCTGCATGTCTGTGCAGCATTTGTGTCTGGTGCCCAAAAAGGCCGGAAGCGGGTATTCACCGTGTCCCCTGGAACTGGAGTCACAGACGCTGTGGCCCAGCGCGCGGGCACGGTGCTGGGGACTGACCCTGGACGAGCAGTCAGTGCTAACCACGGGTTTTTTTTTTCTGAGACAAGATCTTACTATGTCCTAGCTACTCTGACTTTCCATCCTCTTGAGCTTCCGCCTCTGGGGTAGCTGAGATTTCAAGCAAGCGCCAAAGCACTCCACGCAGGCAAGCAAAATACCGAGCACAGGGTAGTTTACCAGCCGAGGCTTACAGTTACGGACACATTGAAGGAGCCAAACTGGTAATAATAAAAAGGCAAAGCTCACCAGGGCCTGCAGTGTCCAGCCTTCTGCAGCCCTGACTGTCATTCGGATCAAGCCTCCCCTGTGACTGGGTCTGAGGCACGGCCTAACCGAAGCCTGGCAGAACACTAGGGCAAACTTCAGTGGTTTAGGAACACAGCCCCTCTGCTGGCCTGGGATCTGGCTGAGTTGGTAGAGCGCTGGCTTAGGGCTCGTGAAACCCTGTGCCCGACTCGCACTGCATGAACTGGACAGGGTGGCCTAAGCCTGCAGTCCTGGTGCTAAGAAGAACACAAGTTCAAGGTCATCCTCAGCCATATGAGTGAGCTCACAGCCAGCCTGGGATAAAGGAATGCCTGAGAGCTTACTGTCTAGAAAAACTGAACAAACAAAGCCCTGGGTGATACTGTCTTCCCATCCCCTGCCCCCTAGGCTGGTGCTGGAGTTTGACCTCCTCATCTTCAGCTTTGGACAGTTGCCCTTGGCGCTGATGACCTGGGTCCCCATGTTCCTGTCCACACTGCTGGTGCCCTACCAGAGCCTGCGGCTGTGGGCCCGGCCGCGCGCCGGGGGCGCCTGGACGCTGGGGGCCGGGTTGGGCTGCGCTCTGCTGGCTGCCCACGCCGCGGTGCTCTGCGTCCTCCCGGTCCACGTGGCCGTTAAGTGGGAGCTGCCGCCTGCCTCGCGCTGCGTGCTGGTGTTTGAGCAGGTGAGGACCCGGGGGGCGGGGGGGGTACCAGGCCACGGAGACCGGCCACGGGGCAGGGCCGGCGCTGATGCGCAGTTGAGAAAAGTGCACGGAAGCGAGCGGTTGCTAGGCAACGCCGCGGCTCCTTGAAGAGCAGGGATGAAGACTGCCCTCTCCCTTCACTGTTGGTCCCAAGGTTGCCTGTGTTAAGCCACAAAATCGTGACACAAACTCAGACCGATGGGCTCCCGCTGGGAAGGTCTTGCATCTGCTCGCCACCCCCCCCCCCCCTGGGAAATCTGGGCACAGACAGGGTAGCGCGATTTTCTCGGTCCGCCTAGGTCAGGCTCCTGATGAAAAGCTACTCCTTCCTGAGAGAGACGGTGCCTGGGGTGTTCTGCGTCACAGGTGAGGCGCCCACAGACCCTCCTGGCCGCCGAGCTCTGCCTTGGAGAGGCGTTGTCGGGGAGACACAGAGCTGAGCCCTAGCCGGGCTGGGCGGCCTTGTTCCTGGACAGTGCTCTCCAGTTCCCAGGCCCAGGCTGGAGAGCCGGGGTGACAGAGAGCCCTCTTTGGAAGGAAACCGGGGTGGGAGGGGAGGAGAGCGGGCTCCTCCGCCGCAGCAGGCCTGGATGGAGCAAGCCCAGTCCACTGAGCACGAGCACCCGTCCCCGCCCCAGGCTAACCCACCCTTTTCCCTCCTGCCCAGGAAAGGGTATCTGCGCCCCCAGCTTCTCCAGCTACCTCTACTTTCTCTTCTGCCCTACACTCATCTACAGGGAGACATACCCCAGGTATGACCTGCTGGCCTCGCCAAGTGCCCTGGCCGGCAGAGGAAAGAGCCCCCGCCCCCCACCCCTGCACATTCCTGACCCACTGTACCCTTCAGCTCTGCTCTGTCCCCCACGCCCCGGAAAATGCATGACTGGGTACCTTTGGTGATACTCAAACTAAACATCCTCTTACTATGCACACGCACGCGCACACGCGCGCGCGCGCGCGCGCGCGCGCACACACACACACACACACACACACACACGCCTCAACATTGCCCCAGGGAATCCGAAAAAGGGCTGAAGGCCTGAGCGGATGACAAAAAGGACGCTGACCTCCTTGCCCTGTGCTGCCGCAGGACGCCCTGCATCCGGTGGAATTACGTGGCCAAGAACTTTGCCCAGGTCTGAGCATGGCGGAGACGATGGGCAGCTGTCACTCACGCCCAGTGGCCTAGGAGCGGGAGGAGCCAATGGTGGCGCCCAGACAGTGGTGCCATGCTGCAGGTCTCAGCCGGGGAGGAGGCAGTGGCCCGAGCTGCGTGTCCCGCTCTGTCTGCAGGCCCTGAGCTGTGTGCTCTATGCCTGCTTCATCCTGGGCCGACTCTGCGTGCCAGTCTTCGCCAACATGAGCCAGGAGCCCTTTAGCACCCGTGCCCTAGTGCTCTCAGTGCTGCATGCCACGGGGCCAGGTAAGAGGGTCACCATGGTGGGAAGAGCCTGTGGCCCGCCCTGGGGAAGCTGGTGTCTCTGAGTCCCTACACACTTGCCCGCCCCGTCCCTGGGTACCGCTGCCACCTTACAGCCTGGTAACACAGCTCCCAGCACTCGTATTTTCTCTCTGCCACTTGGGCCTGGCTTTGCCGCCAAGCTGAAGTCCCTCCTGCAAATTAATCACCGACGAGCCTGCTTCAAAAGCCCTGTCTCCCTTCCTTCCTTTCTCCCTTCCCTCCTCCTCCCTTCCTTCTGCACTGGGGAATCTTTCCCAGCAGACAAATGCTTCATGGCTGGGCCTCATCCCGACCTTTTTACTTCTTACTTTGAGGCAGGACTTGAACTCTTGACTTTTGTTTTTTCCCTAAGACAGGGTTTCTCTGTGCAGCCCTGGCTTTCCTGGACTCGCTTTGTAGACCAGGCTGGCTTTGAACTCACAGAGATCCGCCTGCCTCTGCCTCCCCGAGGGCTGGGATTAGAGGTGCGCCTGCTACCGCCAGGCTCTGTTGGCTTGTTTTTGAGACAGCCTCCACCCAGGCCGGCCTTAAGCTCAGTTCTCCTGCCTCCTCATCCGGAGCAGCTGGGCTTGCAGGCTTGGAATGCCTTTTCTCCACCTGCAGCTTCCTGGCGGCCCATGGCTAAGATGCTCCCCTCTGAGAAGGCCCTCTTCTATCTTATATTTTATTGCGCACCCTTACTTTTCCTTTTTCTGAGATAGTGCCTTGCGACGTTGGTCAGGCTACCCATAGCCTCCTTGGCTCACGTAATTTTCCTGTCCCCATCTCGCCAGGGGTTGGGACTGCCTCTTAGCCAAACTCCCTTCTCAGCCATTAGTCACAGTGATGTCATCGCTCCTTGCTTGGGACTGCATCTCCCAGGACGTCTCTGGCTGTCACCATCATTAGTTCCCATTATACCTGACCTTGATCCTTATATGGGTTTCAGCTTCTGTGTGTCCGTCCCCAAAGCCTGGGACACTGTGAGCCTGTATTTCTAGTTCTGAGGCAAAGAGCCGGTGTGAAGTGCACTGGCAAATGTGTGGATTAAGGAATGCAGGAGCAGCGAGGGAATGCAGGCTTGCTAAATGTTGGGGCCCCGCCCCGCCGGCTGGGCGGGGAGGCCTGGTCGGCCCTCGGCTGCACCCCTTGTCCTGCCTGCCAGGCATCTTCATGCTGCTGCTCATCTTCTTCGCCTTCCTGCACTGCTGGCTCAACGCCTTCGCCGAGATGCTGCGCTTCGGAGACAGGATGTTCTACAGGGTGCGCCTGGGCCGGGGCCGGTGGGGCCGGCTGGGGGCTGCAGCTGGGAGGTTGACCGAGGCCCCAGGAAGAGGGCGGCTGTGGTGGTGTGGGATGAAGCCTCGCCTGGCCCTGGAAGCAGGGAGGCTGGTTGCCTTTGTGGATGGTGTGACAAGATCCTCTCCTCCTGAGTGGAGAGGCAGGAGGAAGCTGGGACAGCCCCAGTGTGGCTGTCTCAGCCCTTCTGAGAGCATGGGGAGGGGGGGAGCGAGCAGCAGCAGCCTGGGCCCGAGAGCTCACCTCCATCTTCTGTGGGTCCGAGAGAGCTCACCTCCATCTTCTGTGGGTCCGAGAGAGCTCACCTCCACCTCCGTGGGCCCGAGCGCTCACCCCCACCCCTGCGCACTCTCCCCAGGACTGGTGGAACTCCACCTCCTTCTCCAACTACTACCGCACCTGGAACGTGGTGGTCCACGACTGGCTCTACAGCTATGTCTACCAGGACGGGCTGTGGGTACGAGCTGCCGCGCTTCTCGCTTCTCCATCCCCACTGCCCCAGGGCGCTCTCCTCCTCCTATTCCTCCCCGCGCACTGGGACGGGAGGGCAGATACCAGGGCTTGCTGGCCAGCCAGCCTGGCTCCCTGGAAGAGCCAATGTCAGGCTGCCCTCTGCCCTGCACACACATGCACACATGCGTTGCGTCTGCACACAAAATACAAGGCTAAGGGGCCGGGTGTGGTGGCGCGGGCCTCTAGTCCCAGCACTCAGAAGGCAGAGGCGGGGGATCTCCATGAGTTCGAGGCCAGCCTGGTCTACATATGGAGCTGCAGGACAGCCAAGGCTACACAGAGACCCCCTGTCTCAGAAAACAAATAATAGTAAGAATAGGGTCCTTGCATAAAGCCCAATGGGTTAGAACAACGCTCTGGAGTAAGAGGAGTATGGACCTTTCCGACCTTTCTGTGGAAGCCCATCCCTTCGTGGCCTCTTGGAGAGGGGGCTCTCTCTGATGGTGACCTGCTGTCCTCCTTCCTGCCTACCAGCTCTTGGGCAGGCATGCCCGCGGGGCCGCCATGGTGGGAGTGTTCCTGGTCTCTGCAGTTGTTCATGAGTACATTTTCTGCTTTGTCCTGGGGTTCTTCTACCCGGTCATGCTCATGCTGTTCCTGGTGTTCGGGGGTGAGCGGGACCTTTGTGGCCCTGGAGGGGGAGGCAGCGGGTGGGAGGGGCCTGAGACCTAGGCTGTTCTGCAGCCTTGGGCGGGGATAAGCACGCCCCAAGGGCTGGGGGAAGGTTTCCGGTTTCCCTTTTGCTCTAGGATGTGGAGGGAATGGCGGGAGCCAGGTGTGGCTGGGAAACACGGCAAGAGTTTTAGGGAGTGAGGGGTAAAGTGAGCGTCGGATTTCTCCCAGTCCCTTGAGACCTTCAGGAGCTGTCTGGGGAGGGAGGATTTCCTTTGCAGTGTGCCACTTCCCAGCCCCTGGCGTGGGAGGTATGGAATGTGGAGTGAGAACCTGCCTCCGTCCTAGGGCTGCTGAACTTCACTATGAATGACCGACACACCGGCCCAGCCTGGAACGTCCTGATGTGGACCTTGCTCTTTCTGGGCCAGGGCATCCAGGTCAGCCTGTACTGCCAGGAGTGGTATGCCCGGAGACACTGCCCCTTGCCCCAGGTATGGCAACGACCTCTCTGCTCCCCATCTGAGACGGCACACCCAGTGGTCAGCCCTTTTGAGTCAGGAACAAGGCATGGCTGGGGGAGGGAGGTGTGTGTCCCCCAAAGGGACCTCACTCACAATCTACCCTTCCATGGTACAGACAACATTCTGGGGGCTGGTGACACCCCGATCTTGGTCCTGCCATCCCTAGAAGTCAAGGCCCCGTACTGACCAGAGGATGGCAGCAAACTCTTCTCTACCTGCAAAGCCCAGGGCCAGGGCCCCTCACTGCCCCATTTGGAGTCAGGACCTGCCAGGGGCATAGGGACTGAGGTCCATACCTCAGTGGGCATCAGACCACAGGCTCAGTGTGGTGTGATTGGAGTGGGCACAGGTCACCTGAGCCACAGATCTCCAGATGTGAAGAGACTCAGAGGAACAAAGGGCCACCAAAGTTTGACTTGTGTTTGGTTCTTTCTGCTCCCCACAGTGCAACAATAAAATCTCTGTCTTCTTTTCATTCATTTGTGGTTTGTTGGGAAACCCACTTTATTATTGCTTTTTTTGTTAGTTTGACATTTTTTTGTTGTTGTTTTTTTGGGGGGTTTCACTTTGTTTTTAGGGTCTTACTGTTTAGCTCTACAGCTGGCCTAAATCTTGCCATATTGAGGAGTGTGGTGGTGCACGCCTTTAATCCCAGCTCTCGGGGAGGCAGAGGCAGACAGATGTCTGTGAGTTCAAGGCCAGCCTGGTCTAAAAAGCAAGTCCAGGACAGCCAAGGATACTCAGAGAAATCCTGTCTTGAAAAAACAAGAATAAAAACAAAACCCAAAACAAACAAAAACTTGCTGTATCAGCAAGGTTGGCTACAGACTCAAGGCAATCCCATCTCTGCCTTTCCAGTGCTGGGATCAAAGGGGTGCGGCATTACATCTGGGGAAAACGCCCTTAGTGAACAATGACTAACAGCCTCATGCATCTGTAGTGCACACAGCACACACTCAGACAATTGAGTATTTATCTCTGCGTCACTGTATACCTCCCAAAAGGCATTTTCTAGCAGAAAGAATTAAACGTTGTGGGGGAGGCTGGAGAGTTGGGCCACTGCTGAGAAGTCTGTATCTCCTCGCAGAGGACCGCAGCAGAGGCTCAGCAGCGATAATCACAGCGCCAAGAGAGCTGACGCCCCGCGCTCTGGCCTCTGCGAGGCAAACCCACAGTCACAACAATTTTTTATCTGCATGTACACCTGCAGGCCAGAAGAGGGCATCAGATCACATTATAGATGGCTGTGAGCCACCATGTGGTTGCCGGGAGTATTGTTTTGGTTTTTTTTTTTTCTTGTTTGTTTTTCGAGACAGGGTTTCTCTGTGTAGCTATGGCGGTCCTGGACTCACTTTGTAGACCAGACTGGCCTAGGGACTCACAGAGATCCACCTGCTTCTGCCTCCCAGAGTGCTGGGATTACAGGCGTGCACCATCTAGCCTCCTGGGAATTTTTGCTGAAGTGTATGGGGGGCTGGAGAGACGGCTCAGTGGTTAAGAACACAGTTTGCTCTTCCAGAGGTCCTGAGTTCAATTCCCAACAACCACATGGTGGCTCACAGCCATCTATAATGAGATCTGGCGCCCTCTTCTGGTGTGCATGAATGTATGCAGGCAGAATGCTCTATGCATGATAAACAAACAAATCTTTAATAGTCAAGCGCTCTGCTCTCTTACTCTCTCCGTGCTCTAAGTAGCTTCTCTTTCCTGTCCTCATGAGAGTTCAGCAAAGTTTCCTTCACTCTTTCACTCATTAGGGTCAGGAACAGGTCAGAGGTCCACAGTTCGCTAACTACCTTTCTTGTTTAAATGTGTTTTCCATTTAGTGTGTGTGTGTGTGTGTGTGTGTGTGTGTGTGTGTGTGTGTGTGTG